ATCTTGGCAGAAAATGAATGCTTTCTTTTTTGTTTCCCCCAGTAAAGGTCCAAGAAGAAATTGCAAGGGTTGTTGGATCTTCTCAGCCAAGGATTGAACACCGAACAAAAATGCCTTATACAGATGCTGTGGTCCATGAGATCCAGAGATTTGCTGATATTGTCCCAACCAACCTGCCACATGCCACGGCTACAGATGTTACCCTCAATGGCTACTTCATTCCAAAGGTGATCCTTTTCATTGAACTGCTGCCTACTAGTGACAATATATTTTAAGGCTTTCCTGGGAGTAAGCCCCTTGGACTTCATTGTGGGTGACATCTGTGCAGACTTGTATACGATTGCAGCGTCATCTTCAACCCGTTAAACAGATCTCAATGGGAAGGAGCAGGAGCACAAGGTTGGAAAAGAAACCATTTCTGGTGGGAGATCATGGTTTACATGTTAAAGTTTTTCAAACGAAAGACATTTCTCAAGTGAACTAAAAATCTCATTTATCCTGCAGTCAGTATTTATTGTACCAGAGGCATATGCTTTATTTTAAAATAGCTCTTGCTTTGTTTTTGCAGGGGACATACATCATGCCATTGCTGTCCTCTGTGCTGCACGATGAATCTCAGTGGGAGAAACCACATAAATTCTATCCAGAACATTTTCTTAATTCTGATGGAGAATTCGTAAAGAGAGATGCTTTCATGCCTTTCTCCGCAGGTAACTTTTTTTTAACTTTTGTGTATACCTGCATAGTGTGTGCTTAGTCAATGGGATTTTTACATGCCACAAATGTAACCTACAGTGGTGCCTCGCAAGACAAAATTAATCCGTTCCGCGAGTCTCTTCATCTTGCGGTTTTTTCGTCTTGCGAAGCACGGCTATTAGCGGCTTAGCGGCTATTAGCGGCTTAGCGGCTATTAACGGCTTAGCGGCTTTAAGAGAAAGGAAACAAACTCGCAAGAACTCGCAAGACGTTTCGTCTTGCGAAGCAAGCCCATAGGGAAATTCGTCTTGCAGAACGACTCAAAAAATGGAAAACCCTTTCGTCTAGCAAGTTTTTCGTCTTGCGAGGCATTCGTATTGCGGGGCACCACTGTATTGTGCAAAGGAAAGAATCACATCAGTTGCTGTGGCCATTTCTGCCACTAGATCTGCCCACTGTTGGTGAGTCACCCCTGGAATGTTGCTCACCAGGGAATGTGGCCCTCAGGCTGAAAAATCCCACCCCGGTTTTCAGCACTTGCAGGATGACTCGTAATTGGAAGTTCTTAATTCTTTTAAGATGGGCACTGTGAGCTGTTATTTCATCTCTGCATTTCCATCTGCTTTAAAGTCTCTGCTGTCCCGGGGAGATTTTAAAATGCTGGGGGTCGGCAGCGAACGCTTCGCTCCCGCCCGCCAGCATTTTAAGATCGCCCCGGGACAGCAGGGGCTTTTAAAATGCTGGCGGTCGGCAGCAAAGCCCTCCTGTCCCCGGAGCTTGCGGGGCGGGAGGTGGGAAGAAGGGCTTTTTTTCTCACCGCCAGCCTCCGTGCTTCGGGCGACAGGCTGCCGCCCCAAGCCTCGCGCACCCGGCAGGACCTCCTGCCGGGCGCGCGAGGCTTGCTGACACTTGCCCGAAGCAGGGGAAGCCCTCCGGAGGGCTCCCCGTGCTTCGGGCGACAGGCTGCCGCCCCAAGCCTCGCGCACCCGGCGGGACCTCCTGCCGGGCGCGCGAGGCTTGCAGACACTCGCCCAAAGCAAGGGGAGCTCTCCGAAGGGCTCCCCGTGCTTCGGGTGACAGGCTGCCGCCCCAAGCCTCGCGCACCCGGCGGGACCTCCTGCCGGGTGCGCTATTTGGGATGTTATTAAGGTAAAGGTCCAGTCGTGGCCGACTCTGGGGTTGCGGCGCTCATCTCGCTTTATTGGCCGAGGGAGCCGGCGTACAGCTTCCGGGTCATGTGGCCAGCATGACTAAGCTGCTTCTGGCGAACCAGAGCAGCGCACGGAAACGCCATTTACCTTCCCGCCGGAGTGGTACCTATTTATCTACTTGCACTTTGATGTGCTTTCAAACTGCTAGGTTGGCAGGAACAGGGACCAAGCAACGGGAGCTCACCCCGTCGCAGGGATTCGTACTGCCAGCCTTCTGATTGGCAAGTCCTAGGCTCTGTGGTTTAACCCACAGCGCCACCCACATCCCTTGGGATGTTATTAAGCAACTGCTAAACCCAGTTTCTCGGCTGCCTATGTTTCCTTACAGGTCGGAGAGCATGTTTAGGTGAGACTCTTGCCAAAATGGAGCTCTTCCTCTTCTTCACAAGTCTCCTTCAGAAATTCACCTTCCAGCTACCCCCTGGAATATCTCAGGAAGACCTGGACCTTACTCCTGCTATTGGGCTTACAACATCGCCCATGCCCCACCAGCTCTGTGCTCTGCCACGTTTCTAAGACTCACAAGTTCCTGGCTTGCTTAGCCTACTTGTGTGTGCAATGCAAGCCTTTCTTAAAACACCCCTGTTCAACAAGGGTATTTGGGTTGAGTAACCTACAGGTAGAATTGTCACAAACATGAAGTGTTCCCCTTTACCTGCCTTAATGCCGAATCCCGTGAAACTAGCATTGGAGCATCTCTTACTTAAAATCTGGCCCTGAGTTCTTATGACACTTCAGGCATAGAGATCAACCAACAAAGCTGGTTCATTTATTCCCATGTTAACATTTACCTTCAAAGATCTTGAAGCATCATATTCCCAAATAGATGTGCTGAGAATTGTGACCAAGACGATAAAGTGTCTGGAAACCATGCCTTATGAGGAATGGTAGAGGAAGTTGGGTATGTTAACATCTGTGGCTGCAGTGTATTCTGATTCTGAAATGTATTTGTTGATGTCAGGCAATGGCTTTGTTTCCTCCGGGTTCTTTAAAAAATCTGTCATAATAGATCTGGCAACTGGGTTTGCTTCTGGAATCTCCATGCTGTCAATTAGTTCAGTGACTTTCTGCTTCTGGCTTAGAATTAAACAACCATATTCCATCTTCTCTCTGTATCTGAATGAAGTTTCTCTGAGAGTCTGGGTAGCTTAAGGCTACCCTCATCAATGGAATTCTGACTGGTCATATGAAAAACAAAAAATGGCAGAAATATGTCAAAATCAAAATCAAAACTTAAATCTCCACAAGAGGAAAAACTCCTTCTCTGCCTAGCTTCTGCTCTGAAAGGGAAGAGGGAGCTAATCCGTTTCACAACAGAGACAAGGGAAGTCACCATGGTCTCACCAGGAAATAGAAAAAATGTCTGGTTTGAATCTCTCTTCTCTCTAAAGAAAATCCTGCCAAACCCACTATAATACTTTGATTTTTGTCTTCACTGGGCCCCATAACCTTTGTAGGAATGGATTTAGGCACTATAAGAGGATGTACAGTTTAGTTATTATCCTTCCTTGCTCATATTGTTGCATGTCATATGCTTTAATGTATACAAAGATATAACCTAATGCCACCATGTTAAACAGTTTCAAGATGAAGATGAATAGAAATTATGCTAAAAAGAAAAATATGTGTGAGTGTTTCAATGGGTGAAAGTTCAGGAAATACTGGACACTTTCAAATTAATGCTGTCGTCCCTAATTGAAGTTGAATAATTTCATCTGCAAATGATTTCACAATGCTGCTCTCTACTGATAATCCTGAGTTATGAGTTCGCCGTGTTCAAGAGCATTGTAATCTGTTCTGGAAAGCATTAGTTTGTGGAAGTAAGCACCACTCACTTGAGTAAACATTAAACTGAAAGGCATATCATCCAATGTACAGCTTTGAATAGCTGTGGAGAAGAAAAAAATCAGAGGGATGATTTAATGATTCCCTAGAGACATTACATAGTATATGGGTAGCTCATTGCAGTTGGTAGACACTGCTGTTGACCAAACTGCTCTGTAGCTTTGTTGTTTTTGTAGAAGTCTTTTAGACCGTGTCGGCCTTTGGCTTGCCAGGTTTTTATATGGAGGTTTCTGCTTTTTTTCTGTTTGGCTCCAGAGGCCTCCAGGCTTGGTGTAGTGGTTAAGAGCAGTAGACTCGTAATCTGGGGAACTGGGTTTGCATCTCTGCTCCTCCACATGCAGTTCCTGGGTGACCTTGGGCCAGTCACACTTCTTTGAAGTCTCTCAGCCCCACTCACCTCACAGAGTGTTTGTTCTGGGGGAAGAAGGGAAAGGAGATTGTTAGCCGCTTTGAGTCTCCTTCGGCTAATGATAAAGCGGGATATGAAATCCAAACTCTTCTTCTTCTTCTCAGCTATCGTTGGGATGCTCCCAGTCCCAGCCGGGTCGAGGCCACTGGGAGGGAGCCCGGGGCTCTTCACAGCCTCCTCGGTTGTCACGTTGGGCACCCCTGGTTACCCCCCAATCATGGTGGCAGCAGTGGCCGGGTTGGCAGTGCAGGCACCATCCAGGCAGCGCCATTAGTGCTTGCGGTCCTCAGACGCTCCATGCTGCTTTGGCGCTTGCCTTCTTGCCTCGCCGGAAGTCCATACTGGTGCACTTTGTAACATCCATCCCTGAATGCAGTTCAATGATCACTCCGAAGAATTTCACAATGCTGCCCTTTACTCCCATTATAATAGATTGATTTTATAGCTAATCCTGAGTGACAGGTCTGCAGCCAGATTCAAGAGAGCTTGAATTTGTTCTGGAAAGGATTAGTTTGTGGAAGTGGGCAGTTCCCCCTTGAGTAAACATTAAACTGAAAAGCAAAACATCCAATATACAGCTTTGAATAATTGTGGAGAAGAAGAAGAAAAAATCAGAGGGACAAAGCAGGACACTTTCCATTTTACTGGGTGGTTTAATGATTAGCTCGAGACAGTACCTAGCATAATATATATGCTGCTCACTGCAGTTGCAAGACATTGTCCTTGACCAAACTACCCTGTAGCTTTCATTATAACCACTGAATAGTTGTGGAGAAGAAAAAAATCGGAGGGATGGTTTAATGATTCGCTAGAGACATAACATAGCATTATATATGGGCTGCTCCTTGCAGTTGGTAGACACAGTTGTTGACCGAATTGCACTGTGGCTTTCATTAAAACCACTACCCAAAAAACATTGCTTGCTGAAACAAAATGGATTGGACGGAGCCGATTCCAGCGTTGTTCCTCTTTATCCTTATGGTTTCCTTTGTTTTGAAACTGGGCGCTTTCTGGAAAAAGAGCTCCCAAAACTTTCCACCAGGACCGAGGCCTTTACCTCTCATTGGGAATCTCCACATCATGGATCTCAAGAGGCCTCACAGAACCATGTTAAAGGTAAAGCTTCCAGTTCCTCCTATGGCAAGGCTGAAGGATACTGGGGCAGCCCAGTCAGCAGAGCGGGGTAATAATAATAATAATAATAATAATAATAATAATAATAATACATTTTGTTCTTTTACAGCCTATAAATCTCACCTTCCCTTTGTGTGCTACAGAACCTTATCTTTCCCAATAAATAGTCATAGGACCTAGTTGTAATTTATACCTGGTAATTTGAACAAGGTGTCTGGGGGTGTCTGGTGTCAAATCCCGTTTGACTCTGCCTCCATTTTCAAGGATGTAAAAGTGCTGGTACAAACCTTGCCTAGCCCAGCCTCCTCCTTGAGCCTATCTTTCTAAACTAGATTTGCGAGGTGCCATTAAAGGTATAATCACTTTTATCCTTAAAGGTAAAGGGACCCCTGACCATAAGGTCCAGTAGTGGCCGACTCTGGGGTTGCGGCGCTCATCTCACTTTATTCGCCGAGGGAGCCGGCATACAGCTTCCGGGTCATGTGGCCAGCATGACTAAGCCACTTCTGGTGAACCAGAGCAGCGCATGGAAACACCATTTACCTTCCCGCCGGAGCGGTACCTATTTATCTACTTGCACTTTGACGTGCTTTTGAACTCCTAGGTTGGCAGGAGCAGGGACCGAGCAACGGGAGCTCACTCCATCGCAGGGATTCGAACCGCTGACCTTCTGATCGGCAAGTCCTAGGCTCTGTGGTTTAACCCACAGCACCACCCACGTTATCCTTACAACTGCCTATTTTTTTCTGGTTTTCTGAGTATTCCTAGCAAATATTTGTGCTGCCACAACTGAATTATAATAATAATTTAATAATAATTTATTATTTATACTCCGCCCATCTGGCTGGGTTTCCCTGGCCAATCTGGGCGACTCCCAACAGATTAATAACACGATAAAACATTAAACATTAAAACTTACCTAAAAACTACTGCCGTCAGGTGTCTTATAAAAGTCAGATAGTTGTTTATTTCCTTGACATCTGATGGGAGGGTGTTCCACAGGGCGGGCGCCACTACCGAGAAGGCCCTCTGCCGGGTCCCTGTAACTTCACTTCATGCAGTAAGGGAACCGCCAGAAGGCCCTTGAAGCTGGACCTCAGTGTCTGGGCTGAACGATGGGGTGAAGACTCTCCTTCAGGTATACTGGGCCGAGGCCATGTAGGTCTTTAAAGGTCAGCACCAACACTTTGAATTGTGCTTGGAAACGTACCCGGAGCCAACAGTGGCATAGCAAGGTCAGGTGATACCCAGTGTGGGTTTATTGTCACCCCCCCCACACACACACACCTTGAAATATATACAGTGGAACCTGGTGGCACTGTGGGTTAAACCACAGAGCCTAGGACTTGCTGATCAGAAGGTCGGCGGTTCGAATCCCCACGATGGGGTGAGCTCCTGCTGCTCGGTCCCTGCTCCTGCCAACCTAGCAGTTTGAAAGCACGTTAAAGTGCAAGTAGATAAATAGCTACCACTCCGGCGGGAAGGTAAACGGCATTTCCGTGTGCTGCTCTGGTTCACCAGAAGTGGCTTAGTCATGCTGGTCACATGACACGGAAGTTGTACACCAGCTTCCTTGGCCAATAAAGCGAGATGAGCGCCGCAACTCCAGAGTTGGTCACGACTGGACCTAATGGTCAGGGGTCCCTTTACCTTTACCTTTACCTTACCGTGGGTTAAGAACTTAATTCGTTTGAATACCTGACGGCCAGGAATGATAAACAAGTGATATTAATCTTTGTAGATGCGGAAAAGGCCTTTGATAATATATATTGGGAATTTATGATAAAGAATATTGATTTAATGAGTATTGGACAATTGTTTATAAAAGGTATAAAAGCTATATATTCTGGTCAAAAAGCAAAATTAATAGTAAATAATAAAATAACTGGAAATATTGAAATTACGAACGGTTCAAGACAAGGGTGTCTGCTCTCACCACTATTATTCATATCGGTACTGTAAGTCTTTCTAAGGACAATAAGAGAAAATGAGAAAATAAAAGGAATTTCAGTTGGCCGGAAAGAACATAAAGTGAAAACCTTTGCAGATGACTTGGTACTAACTATAGAAGAACCATTAAATAATGCCAAAGAAGTTATTAAAAAAATAGAACAATTTGGACAAGTAGCAGGTTTTAAATAAAACAAAATCAAGACTAAAATATTAGTTAAAAATATGAAACAAGACTTGGGTTGATATATTGCAGGAGGAAATTGGTATAGAAGTAGTCAAAAAAGTTAAGTATTTAGGAATTTGGTTAACCACAATGAACATAGATTTATTTCAAAATAAATCCTCGAGGCGTGCCTGGAGTTGTTCAGCAACCATCCGCTCAATCACCTTGCCCAAGAATGGAAGATTTGAGACTGGGTGGTAGTTCACCATATTAGCTGGGTCCAAAGATTTATTTTTTAATAAGTGGTTTTATAACCACCACTTTCAGTGGAGGCTCCCTAATAGAGGGAAGCATTCACCACCCCACAGAGCTTTTATGAGCCAGGATGGGCAAGGATGAAGGAGACAGGTGGTCAGTTTCACTGCCCAAGCAGCCTGTCCACATCCTCAGAGGTAACACATTGGAATTCCAGAAATCTGGCACTCTCCCGCCCTGGTCCCCCTCCCACGGTGGAGTCTACTGAACTGGATGAAAAGGCTAAGCTCAGTTCAGTAGACTCCACCATGGGAGCAGGGCCAGGGAGGGAGAGTGCTATCATGCAGCTGTAGCAGCAACTGTTGCTGCTACAGCTATTATTAGCAAATGTCTTGAAGAGCACTGAGGCATAGACAATGCTCTTTTACTTTATCATTATGTTATTTGGATTCTGTTTTGCATGGTGATTTGCAAAGATACAAAAGGGAATTCATTCCACAAAATTACTATTCTTAAGTCATATGTTTTCAGCTCGATCCAAGGCACAATGACATGGAAGTAATTTCTACCAAGTTCAATAGTAGTGATTAAAAAAAACCTGATACTAGTCTAACAGTCAAACTTTGCTACTAGATTCTGTGGAATGTATAAAATAACCTTGAGTCTTAGGTAAATGTGCAAGCTAATACAGTCTTGGTTCTGCCAGAGATGATTTACATTAATATATTTTGGGGGTATACCAGAACTCTCTTTCTCACTTTTTCTTCTGTTGAATTCCAGTTGTCCAAGCAATATGGCCCTGTCTTCAGCATCCAAATGGGACCCCGGAAAACTGTGGTGTTGACAGGATATGAGACAGTAAAGGAGGCTCTGGTTAATCACGCGGACGCATTTGCAGACAGGCCCATCGTTCCAATGTTTCAAGAGCTTGCACAAGGCTTAGGTGAGGCACTTCCCTTTCTATTGGAACTGGTAATGCTTGCAGACACACACAGGTCCCACAAGGTGAACACAATCTGTTCCCAAGAAATGGTTTGTAGGATAAGCGTTTGCAAAGCAAGTCATTGAAATCCATTGTTTCCTGTGGGGGAAATCCTTGTGACTTTTTCAACCCACCTCAGTGCCTTTGACATTGACAGAGTATCTGCAGGCATTAGGCTGAGAATGTGTCACAAAAAGTGTCAAATGTGGACTTCTGCAGATTACATGGGAAAGTAATGCCACACACCATTTTCTTGCCCAGCCTATGCAAAGAGGAAACATGAAGGAGGCATAATATCTGCCCATGTAATACAAAGTTCTGCTGTGACGCCTGACATGTACAAACCACCCTCTACTCTATCCTACACTTTGAAATGGAAAATATTGTTCAATGTGTTCTCAGTTCTTGCTCTGATGGCACAGCTGCCAGCTACTTTGTCAAAGCTCAGAAGTCTGAATGGGAGAATAGCTGGGATCCATTCTCAGTTCCATGAAAGAAATGCAGAACACAATTTATTGATATTTTTGTGCAATGGCCATGCAGACATAAAACCTTTCCTCCCATTTTTAGGTGTAACTTTGTCTAATGGTGAAAACTGGAAAGTGATGCGGCGGTTTGCTTTAAGCACATTACGGGACTACGGAATGGGAAAGAGGACCATAGAAGATAGAATTGTTGAGGAATGCAGTGTCCTGATAAAGAAATTTGAATCTTACGAAGGTGGGTTGGTGTTTTCCTCTGGTGCATAGCTACACTACCGTTGTTTAAAGGTGCCAAGACTATTGTGTTACATATTCCTAACTTCCAGAAGCACAGCTGCCAGGGTTCCCTGCAATTGGTCTGTTCCTGTAATGTGCAGATTGTACTGCAACAACTCCTGTGACTTCCAAGCATTTCTTAGCCCAGCTATGGCCACATCCGGCAGCACTTAGGATCAGTTTCTTTGATAAAGGAGGTCTACACATAGGTAAGCTGCCAGTAGGGATTTAAGGCAACGATGAGCAGACTTAAAAACAATGCCCTTTCCATATTTGGAATTTCAACAGAATATTTTTGTTTAACTGTCTTGTTTATGTCTAGGTAGCCCATTTGAAACCACCTCAATTATGAATGCAGCTGTTGCCAATATTATAGTGTCCATACTACTAGACAAGCGATTTGATTATGAAGATTCCACATACATAAGACTTCTGAAGTTGATCAATGAAAATATCCGGCTTTTCGGAAGCCCTTCAGTCACGGTAATCTATTTTTTCCAATTCAAACAAACAAACAAACAAACAAACAAACAAACAAACAAACAAACAGTTCATTGTAATGGCAGTGTGTGCAAAGTGGGGAGGGCAACATGTTTATTGTATATTGTTCAGGATTCACTACAAAACACAGAATATTGATATCTTGAGATACCTGCTGGTGATTTGAAATATTTAGAAAGCTCAGATTCTGACAGGAGAAGCAGGCACAGGGAGAGGACAGTTAACAGCAGAAAGCAGAGAGGAGGGGGAAAGCAGCTGTAATCTGAGCTCTGACCAAAGGGACAGACAGAGGTGTGAGAACTCCAATAGTGGGCAAGACATTGGAATGCAGGAAATACTCTCTGCCAAATCTCGTAGGATTTCAAAAGTGGCAGAGCTGCGCGAAAGATACCGGAAGAAAAGGTGGGGGCTTCCGTTCTGGGGAAGGGGGAGGAGCTCAGTCTGGGCAACTGTATCTTCTGGGGAGGACGATGAGTAGAGGAGCTCCGTTCAAGTTTGTTGTTTTAGCAATTAACAGCCAGTGTTGTCTTGCATTTGTGGGAGAGACCAAGCTGTAACAACACGCTTCCTGGCCTCACTGCCATCGGGACTCCAAGGACAAGGAAGAAGAAGTGATTGTTTGTTCCATGATGGCTCAGAAGGGACCTCCAAGGGCAGATCTCCCTCTCTGAAGATAAACCTCCAGAGGAGAACTGCCATAACCTATTATTCCAGGGTTGCACATAAATTATGCTGTCCTGAGGTAGCCCTAACCCCATTCCAAATGCCATTCAAGAGTTTTGTTTGTATTTGGACAACCACGCTTTGAGAGACGCAATTGAGAGAACTGTACTGAGCTTTCCTAATGTCTCTTTTTCTTTTTTCACATTTTTATCCTTTCAGCTGTATAACATGTTTCCTGCTCTTGGTTTTCTTCTGGGGGCTCGTAAGACTGTCATCCAAAACAGAGATGAGCTGTTTGCCTTCATAAATGCCACCTTCATAAAACACCTCAGAGATCTGGATGAAAATGACCAGAGGAGCTTTATTGACACATTTCTTATCCGACAACAAGAGGTAATGGAGTCTTTTAAGTTGGAGCAGAATAAACATTGACATTTTCAATTCATGTTTTCAGGGTATATTTGCAAGTGAATGCATAAGGAGTAGTCAGGAAGTCTCACTTCAGAAGGGACCAACCTGGCATACTTCCTACCATTTCCCAATAGTCAGCCATTGTTAATGTGTACTGAAGTTGCCTCTGCAGGGGCAAAGGTTGTGTGCTCACCAGCATTTCTGGAAAAAAATCCCTGATCAAGAAAACTGGGTCAAGGAGCTGGATTGGCAAGCTTCCCTGATCTCCACTCTCAGCTGTGACTATGGAGGAGCAAGACGTTTTGGGGTATTGATGCTGAGCCCCTCCATCTTAGGCTTGGGTTATATATATATGTATATGTATTTACACGCACATATATATGCGTGGCGTGCTCTGGCCCATGGGGTCACGAAGAGTCAGACACGAGTAAACGACTAAACAACAACAACATCTATGTGTGTAAATAAACCCTATACCACCATGATGGCATAGTCTGAAAAACCTGGAATCTCTCACTGCTCAGTGATTGGGGTGATATGAAATGACACTTTGGATCATCAGGTCCACTCAGTTATTCATTCTTATCTTTGCACATGAAATTTTCTCACTCCATTTGTTTTAACCAGTTCATACTCTTTGCATCCCAGGAGGAGAAAAAAAACAAGACGAATGCTTATTTCCACAACAGAAACTTAATAGTTATTGTGGCCAACTTATTTGCTGCTGGCATGGAGACCATTTCTACCACACTGCGCTGGGGACTGTTACTAATGATGAAATATCCTGAAATTCAGAGTGAGTGTTTTTCATTGGGTTGGCTCCCATCATTCTGAGAAAGCTTAATTCCAGTTATATATAACAATCAAAGAGCGAAAATATTTATAATATTCAATCAAAAGTTTAACATTTTAATCTGATCTTGCTTCACCCTCTTTCTGTGGTTCTTTGCATTTCGTTTCATCTTCCTGCGTACTCCAAATTATCCCAACATATTCTTTTAGATATATATTCCCATATATATCCCATATATATATTGAAACTGCAGGTTTTTACATTAATCCTGCCAATGTCTTAGTATGTTTACAGTTTGCTTGTAAATATTCAATAAACCATTTCCATTCCTTTCTTTTTTTAAAAAAATGGTTATCTTGATATATTATTCTCATGGTAAGTTTCGCCATTTCTGTGTAGTCCATTAATCTCTTCTCTTGTTGGGACTTCTTCTTCCTTCCATTTTTGGACAAATTCCATTCTTGCAGCTGTGGTTGCATACATAAATAAATTTATATACTGTTTAGGTAGTTCCGATTCCAAAATTCCCAAAAGAAAAGCTTCTGGTTTTTTAAACATCTTAAACCTCTTTTTCAGTTCATTATATATCATTTTCCAGTAAACTTTAACCTTATTACTAGACCACCACTGTTATGTGTGCCGGCGTGGTTGCTCGAGAGCAAACAGGCAAGACTCCCCATTGGTCTTTTCAAGGCTTTATTACAGTGGTGCCCCGCAAGACGAATGCCTCGCAAGATGAAAAACTCGCTAGACGAAAGGGTTTTCCATTTTTTGAGTCGTTCCGCAAGACGAATTTCCCTATGGGCTTGCTTCGCAAGACGAAACGTCTTGCGAGTTCTTGCGAGTTTGTTTCCTTTTTCTTAAAGCCGCTAAGCCGCTAATAGCCATGCTTCGCAAGACGAAAAAACCGCAAGATGAAGAGACTTGCGGAACGGATTAATTTCGTCTTGCGAGGCACCACTGTATCTGTCCAAAACATTCACAATTCAAATCGACTCAATTCCATGTCTGCTCACTCGCTAGCAGAATCTGGGAGTGGGTGGTCCTTAAACTTTCCCCAGCACAGTAGCCTTTTGACCCCCACCCTACGCCTACCCTCTCTGCGTGTAAACCGACTGCGCAAAGAGGGCATGGGCAGAGGGGGACCTGCCTCCCCCCCGCTTTGTTCATGCTCAGTACTCTGGCTCTCCCTTGCATCCTCCGAGCCCTGCACCCCTTCCCCACTGGAGGCGTGGCTTCCCTCCTCCGCAGAGAAAGTGCTGCTTCTCACGATCTTTGGAGGCTCCCTGTGACCCAACTGCCCTTCCACCTCTCGCCTCTGAGCTGATGGCAGTTCCCTGACAACCACATATCAAAAAGGTACTTTCTTTCTCTTTACGTTTCCAGCACATATTCAAGTTGGATTTATATGTTTGAGCCAATCTATTAGGTCAGGGGTCAGGAGCCGCATGTGGCTCTTTTACACCTTTGCCGCGGCTCCGGGGTGGATACTAGCGAGGGGAGGAGGCGCATTGTGCGCCCCGACACTCCCCACTGTGGCAGGCGCTGTACTGGCTGTGACGTCGCATGGGGGCGTGCGTTAGTCACGCACCGTCCCGACGTCACCTTCCCGCCCGCCTGCTACATTGTAAGGGGCATGTACGCTGGTCACTGCATTGAAAGGGGGCATGTACGCTGGTCACTGTTTTGAAGGGGAGCGAAGAACACACACACACACACACACAAACAAAAAGGTAACTTGTTAATTTAACGTTTATTTCTATGAGGAGGAGTAATTCTGAGGGGTCAAACAAAGAAATAATAAAAAAGTGACAAAAAGGTTATTTTTATAATGACGAGTTTTGCGGCTCCCAGTTTTTTTTTCTTCGGAAACGGGTCCAAGTGGCTCTTTTTGTCTTAAAGGTTGCAGACCCCTGTATTAGGTGTTAGATACCATTTATATAACATTTTCATAGTTTTCTCTTAAACTATAACATTCTGTGAATTGTATATCCATGTTCGATAAACTTTCCCATGTATCCCATTATTACCAATGTCTATGGCCAAGTGTATTCTTGAAGATTTCACTTGTTCATCCTTTGTCTCCCATTCCAATAACATTTTATACATTTTAGATATCGCTTTCAGTTTAAGTACCACTTTAGCTAATGGGACTCCCGCTGCTGCTGCGCCGCCACCGCGCAATTTCTGTTCTCATCCTGAAGCAAAGTTCTTAACCCAAGGTATTATTTCTGGGTTAGCGGAGTCTGTAACCTGAAGCGTATGTAACCTGAAGCGTCTGTAACCCGAGGTACCACTGTATGGTTATCAACGCTTCATGCCAAGAGTCAGGGATTTTCCTTTCTTCCATTATCTCATCTTTTTAAGTCTAGCGATTACTACTTCTTCTAGTTTCTTGTAATATATAGTCAGTATTCCATCTGGACCTGGTGATTTCCCAGTTTCCATTTTCCTTATCACTTCTCTTATTTCTTCCGAGCTTATGCACGAGTTTAAATTGCTAAATTCCTTACCATCTATTTCAGGGATTTTGTTTTCTCTTACATACTCTTTAATTTTATTCTCATCCTTACCTTCCAATTTGTATAATTTTTTATAAAAGCTCCTAAACATCATTTTTATTTGGTCCGGATCTGTAATTTCTTTTCCTTATTCAATAATCTTATTTATAACCCTATCCACTTGTTTCTCCTTTGTTAACCAAGACAACATTCTACCAGGTTTATTTGCCGATTCAAAATACCTTTGTTTTGTCCATTTGATCTTATTTTCCACCTCTTTGTTTATTAAATTAATTAGTTGGGATTGTAGAATTTTAATGTTTTGGATTATACTTTCTTGTTCTGGATTTTTCAACAATTCTTTTTCACTCTCCCTTTTCTGTTTATTGATTTCCATAGTATCATTTGCTTTAGCCTTCCTTATTCTTGCCATTTGTTGTATTGTATTGTTGTATTCCAATTCCTCTCATATAGGCATTACTTGTATCCCAAATGATTTTCCTGTCAGTCCCATGTCTCCCATTAATTTCGAAAAATTCCTTCAACAATTCCCTCATTTTATTCACCTTTTGCTCATCTCTCCATACCTCATCATTCATCCTCCACCTCCCTCTCGTATATTTTTTAAATTTTATGTGTATAGTAACTGGATTATGGTCTGAGAGAGATTTGTTCAGAATCTCTGCTTTTACCAAGCTCAGTGTCAATTTCTTATTTCTTTCGGATTTGCCACAACTCTACCTAATACATTTATTCTATTAATGCAGGTTTTTTCTTTATTTGCCAAGCTAATAGTTTCCCTGGCTTATCAGCCTGTTGAAATTGTTTCTGTTTTCTGTTTTAAATATTTAATTTTCCACTCTATTTCTTGATCTATTATCATTGAATATTGCAACATCTGGATATCCTGTTTCACTATCTCTTTTCAAGGGGAATTTATTAATTCTTTTCCTTTTCCTTTTATTTCTTGTAAAATTTTCTTGTTTTTTTCCTGCTCTCTTTTATTTCTTAGCTATGCCCTTTGCAGTGTAAAAAACACTACCACTTTACTCGCATCCCATACCACCTTTAAATCTGTCTCTTTGTTTAAATTACAGTGGTTTCTCAGTTTCCGAACATCTTCATTGAGGAACATTATAGTTTTAGAATTCCTTCCACTGAGTGTATATGTTATTTTTCGCAATTTTCTCTATTAAATTCCCAGACCGCCATTTGCGCCTCAGTTTTCGAATGTTCCAGAACTTGAACAGTATTCTGGAACAGATTATGTTCGAAAACTGAGGTACCACTGTAATTTCAAAATAACCTCAGGTTAAGAACGGTTTCAGGTTAAGAACGGACCTCCAGAATGAATTAAGTTCATAACCAGAGGTTCCACTGTATTCCAAAGCTTTAAATATACAAAGTCCTAGGAGACAATGTCAAATGCTTTCTCGGAGTCTAAAAATCTTAAAGCTGCCCATTTTTCATTTCTCACTACTAAATATTCTATTACATCAATTATGTTTCTATTATTATTATCTTTCATTTGTCTTCCCAGCAAAAATCCAGCCTGATCTTCATGGATTACCTCTTTTAATACAGTTTTCAACCTATTAGCTAATATATCTGAAAACAGTTTATAATTGTTATTCAACAACGAAATAGGTCGATAGCTCTTCACCAGCTTTGGATCTCTATTTTGCTTATGAATCAAAGTTATGTATGCACTCTTCCAGGATTTGGGTAACTCTCCTATATTCAAAGAGATATTCATAATATCTTTTATAGGTTGCATTAGGTAATCTTGTAAAAATTTTTATAATAAATTGCTGAAACTCCATCAGATCCAGGTGCCTTCCCTAATTTTGCGTGTAAAATAGCTTGCTATAATTCCATCATTGTGACAGGTCCATTAAGAAATGATGTTCTTATTTCTTTCCGATTTTCCACAACTCTACCTCCTGCATTTATTCTATTAATGCAGGTTTTTTCTTGTTTCTTCTTTATTTGCCTAGATAATAGTTTCCCTGGCTCGTTAGCCTGGTCAATTTTTTTCTGTTTTAAATATTTAATTTTCCACTCTATTTCCTTGTTTATTATCATTGAATATTGAAATTGCAACATCTCGTTATCCTGTTTCACTATCTCTTTTTGAGAGGGATTTATTAATTCTTTTCCTTTTCCTTTTATTTCTCCTAAAATTTCTTGTTTCTTTCTGCTCTCATATTTCTTCTGTATGTGCTTTGCTGTGTAAAAAAAAACACCACCCCACATTACCACTTTACTCACATCCCATACCACCTTTGAATCTGTCTCTTGGTTCAAATTAATTTCAAAATAATCCTTTAATTTTCTTGCCCCCTTTTCTAGTATTTCTTGATCATTTAATAAATTTTCATTTAGTCTCCATCTCTTCGGGAAACTTGTCCCTGTTCTTAATTCCACTATTATAGAGTTGCAGTCTCATAATGTTCTTGATAGAATTTCTGCCCTCTTTACCTTAGAATACAAATCTTTAGAAGACCATACAGAGTCTTTTCAACTTGCAGAATAATTCGCAGTCTAATAAAATGTACATTGTCCTGTGGGTGTTTTTCTCTCCAAATGTCAATTAAACTTAAATGGTCAGTCATCCTAAAAAAGGCATTCAGTATCTTGCCTTCTTTTGTTTCTTTTTTTCTCATAGTCCTGTCCCAATCTAGGGAGGCTACACCATTCATATCACCCATCAAAATCACCTTTTCATTCAAATGTTCAAATAATATTTCTTCCAGCCTCTTTTTAAAATCAAATTTTTTTCTCATTAGGTGCATACAAACCAATTAATATTATCTTTTCTCCATGTGGTGGTATCTAAGTTATCAATATTCTTCATTGCTCATCTTTGAATAATTGCTTTGGGTCCAACCCTGGATTTATACACATTACAACTCCTCTCTTATTTGTGGTATCAGAAGGTACAAAGTCCTTTCCTACCCTTTATTTAACCTTTATTTATCCAAGTTTAACTTCTTTACAACATGTTCAATTTTATTCCCTTTAGTCTTATTATTTAGCCTATTTACATTCCAAGTGAGAATTTTCAAAGCCATCTTGTTCCATATTTATTTCTCTTTCGCCTCCACCTTGGTTGAATCTTCCTCTTCTTGTCCAAATGCTCTTTCTCCAGTTAACTTCCCACCATATTTTCTCCACAATTTGTCTGGCTCTGTAGGATCATGAAATCTTTGTTTTTGACCTTTATATGTAAAACATATCACTTCAGAATATTCCCAGCAATGATATTTTAATCATCCTGGATGAATTTCACTCCCTCAGTGTATCAGGTTATTTGCTAAAATCTTTGTCCTGTTTAAAAAATACCTGTATCATATTATAGAGATTAAATTTGTGAGTCCACGGAATTGGAGAACCAGTTAATGGCAGTTCTATTCTGCAGAGATTAATATTTTGAGAGACAAAAGCCAAAATCAAAGGGATAAGCTGAGCAGAAAAATAAACATTGTTCTTTTTGTTGCCGCCAGTAAAGGTCCAAGAAGAAATTGCAAAGGTTGTTGGATCTTCTCAGCCAAGGATTGAACACCGAACAAAAATGCCTTATACAGATGCCGTGGTCCATGAGATCCAGAGATTTGCCAATGTTAACCCAACCAACCTGCCACATGCCACGACTACAGATGTTACCCTCAATGGCTACTTCATTCCAAAGGTGATCCATTTCACTAAACTGCTGCCCACTAGTTACAATATATTTTAAGGCTTTCCTGGGAGTAAGCCCCTTGGACTTCAGTGTGGGTGACATCTGAGCAGACTTGTATAGGATTGCACTGCAAGCATGCAATCTATCCTTTGGAAGCTGTCAGGCATCAGCTTCAACCCATTAAACAGATCTCAGTGGAAAGGAGCACAAGGTTGGTAAAGAAACCATTTCTAGTGGGGAATCATGGTTTATATGTTAAGTTTGTCAGACTAAAGACATTTCTCAAATGAACTCAAATCTCATTTCTCTTTCACTCGATATTTATTGTAGAGGAATATACTTTATTTTAAAATAACTCTTGCTTTGCTTTTGCAGGGGACATTCATCATACCATTGCTGTCCTCTGTGCTGCATGATGAATCTCAATGGGAGAAACCACATAAATTCTATCCAGAACATTTTCTTAATTCTGATGGAAAATTCATAAAGAGAGATGCTTTCATGCCTTTCTCTGCAGGTAACTTTTTTCTACTTTTGTGTGTATCTGCATAGTGTGTGCTTAGTCAATGTGATTTTTACATGCATGGAATGTAACCTATTGTGCAAAGGAAAGAATCACATCAGTTGCTGTGGCCATTTCTGCCACTTGATCTGGCCACCATTGGTGTGCGGCCCCTGGAATGTTGCTCACAAGGGAATGTGGCCTTCAGGCAGAAAAGACACACACACACACACACACACACACACACAGGGTTTTCAGCAGTACAGGATGGCTCGTATTGGGAGTTCATAATTCTTTTATGGGCACCGTGAGCTGTTATTTTATCTCTGCATTTCCTTGTGCTTCAAAATATTAGGGTTGTTATTAAGCAACTGCTAAACCCAGTTTCTCTGCTGCCTGTGTTTCCTTACAGGTCGGAGAGCATGTATAGGTGAGACTCTTGCCAAAATGGAGCTCTTCCTCTTCTTCACAAGTCTCCTGCAGAAATTCACCTTCCAGCCACCCCCTGGAATATCTCAGGAAGACCTGGACCTTACTCCTGCTGTTGGGCTTACAACATCGCCCATGCCCCACCAGCTCTGCGCTCTGCCACGTTTCTAAGACATGTGTGCAATGCAAGCCTTTTTTAAAAAACACCCCTGTTCAACAAGGGTGTTTGGGTTGAGTAGCCTAGTGGTGGAATTGGTCCGTGCTTTGTCACAAATCTTGTGTTCCCCTTTACCTGCCATACTGCCGAATCCCGTGAAACTAGCATTGGAGCATCTCTTACTTAAAACCTGGCCCTGAGTTCTTATGACACTTGAGGCATAGAGATCAATCAACAAAGCTGGTTGCATGTGTTCCCATGTTAAGGTATACCTTCAAAGATCTTGAAGCATCATATTCCCAGGTAGATGTGCAGAGAATTGTGACCAAGACGAAAAAGGGTCTGGAAACCAAGCCTTATGAGGAATGGTTGAGGAAGTTGGGTATGTTAACATCTGTGGCTGCAATGTATTCTGATTCTGAACTGTATTTGTTGTTGTCAGGCAATGGCTTTGTTTCCTCCTGGTTCTTTAAAAACTCTGCCATAATAGATCTGGCAACTGGGTTTGCTTCTGGCATCTCCATGCTGTCAATTAGTTCAGTGACTTTCTGCTCCTGGTTTAGAATTAAACAACCATATTCCGTCTTCTCTCTATATCTGAATGAACTTTCTCTGAAAGTCTGGGTAGCTGAAGGCTTCCCTCATCTACAGAATTTTGACTGGTCATATGAAAAATGAAAATGGGGAAAATGTATCAAAATCAAAACAGCGTTCCTGTGCAATCTGGCACTCGTCATGGTGTCCCGTTGCACCAGAAGTGGTTTAGTTATGCTGGCCATATGACCCAGAAAGCTGTCTGTGGAAAAACACTAGCTCCATCAGCCTGAAGGGAGATGAGCACCACACCCCATAGTCACCTTCCATCTTCTCTCTATATCTGAATGAGCTTTCTCTAAGAGTCGGGGTAGCTTAAGGCTTCCCTCATCAACGGAATTCTGACTGGTCATATGAAAAATGAAAATGGTGGAAATGTGTCAAAACCAAAATCAAAACTTCAATCTCCACAAGAGGAAAAACTCAAAAGCTTCTCTGCCTAGCTTGTGCTCTGAGAGGGAAGAGGGAGCTAATCCCTTTCACATTGGAGTCAGTGGAAGTCTCCATGGTCTCACCAGGAAATAGAAAATTGTCTAGTTTGAATGTCTCTTCTCTCTTAAGAAAATCCAGCCACACCCACTATAATGCTTTGATTTTTGTCTTAACAGGGCCCCATAACTTTGTAAGAATGGATGTAGGCCCCATGAGAGGATGCACTGCTTAGTTATTATCCTTCCTTGCTCACATTGTTGCATGTCATATGCTCTAATGTATACAAAGATATACCCTAATGCCACCATGTTAAACAGTTTCAAGATGAAAATGAATAAAAACTATGCTATAAAGAAAATATGTGTGAGTGTTTGGATGGGAGGAAGTTCAGGAAATACTGGACACTTTCAAACTAAATGCAGTTGTTCCTAATTAAAGTTGAATAATTTAATCTGCAAATGATTTCACAATGCTGCCCTTCACTCCCATTATAACAGATTAATTTTACACATAATCTGGGTGACAGGTCTGCAAGCAGGTTCAAGAGAGTTTGAATTTGCTCCTAAAAGCAATAGTTTGAGTGGGCACCAGTCACTTGAGTAAACATAAAGCTGAAAGGCAAATAATCCAATGTACAGCTTTGAATAGTTGAGGAGAAGAAAACAAAATCAGAGGGCCAAAGCGGGACACTTTTTACTGGGTGGTTTAATGATTTTCTAGAGGCAGTACCTAGCAGAATATATACTCTGCTCCCTGCAGTTGCAAGACATTGTCCTCGACCAAACTGCTCTGCAGCTTTCATTATAACCATTGCAAAACAAATTGCTTGCTGAAACGAAATGGATTGGACAGAGCCGATTCCAGCGTTGTTCCTCTTTATCCTTATGATTTCCTTTGTTTTGAAACTGGGCACTTTCTGGAACAAGAGCTCCCAAAATCTTCCACCAGGACCAAGGCCTTTACCTCTCATTGGGAATCTCCACATCATGGATCTGAAGACGCCTTACAGAACTATGTTAAAGGTAAAGCTTCCAGTTCTTCCCATGGCAAGGCTGAAGGGTACTGGGGCAGCCCAGTCAGCAGAGAGGGGTAATAATAATAATAATAATAATAATAATAATAATAATAGTTGTTGTTGTTGTTGTTGTTGTTGTTGTTGTTTTAAAGCCTATAAAGCTCACCTCCCCTTTGTGCGCTACAGAACCTCCTCTTAGCTTTCCCAATAAATAGTCATAGGACCAAGTTGCAATTTATAACTGGTAATTTGAACAAGGTGTCTGGTGTCAAATCATGTTTGACTCTGCCTCCATTTTTAAGGATGCAAAAGTGCTGGTGCAAACCTTGCCTAGCCCAGCCTCCTCCTTCAGCCTATCTTTCTAGATTAGAGAGGTGCCATTAAAGGTATAATCACATTCATCCTGATAACTGACTATTCTGTTCTGGTTTTCTGAGCATTCCTAGCAAATATTTGTGCTTGCTGCAACTGAATAACAATAATAAGTTAATAATAATTTATTATTTATACCCCATCCATCTGGCTCAGTATCCCCGGCCACTCTGGGCGGCTCCCAACAGATTAAAAACACGATAAAGCACCAAACATTGAAAACGTCCCTAAAAAGGACTGCCTTCAGGTGTGTCTTCTAAAATTAAGATAGTTGTTTATTTCCTTGACATCTGATGGGAGGGCATTCCACAGGGCAAGTACCACTACCAAGAACACCCTCTGTATGTTTCCCTGTAACCTCATTTCTCACAGTGAGGGAACTGCCAGAAGTCCCTCGGCCATGAACCTTGGACGATGGGGGTGGAGACGTTTCTTTAGGTATACTGGGCCGGGGACGTTTAGGGCTTAAAGGTCAGCACCAACACTTTGAATTGTGCTCAGAAACGTACTGGGAAGCCAATGTAGGTCTTTCAGGACTTGTGTTATATGGTCTCAGCCACCACTCACAGTCACCAGTCTAGCTGCTGCATTCTGGATCAGTTGCAGTTTCTGGGTCACCTTCAAAAGTAGCCCCACATAGAGAGTGTTGCAGTAGTCAAAGCAGGAGATAACCAGAGCATGCACTACTCTGGTGAGACAGTCTGCCGGCAGGTAGGGTCTCAGCCTGCGTACCAGATGGAGCTGGTAGATAGCTGCCCTGGACACAGAATTGACTTGCGCCCCCATGGACAGCTGTGAGTCCAAAATGACTCTCATGCTGCGCACCTGGTCCTTCAGTGCCGCAGTTGCCCCATTCAGGACCAGAGACTCCCCCACACCTGGCCGCCCCCTGTCCCCCCAAAACAGTACTTCTGTCTTGTCAGGATTCAACCTCAACCTCAATCTGTCAGCTGCCATCCAACCACCTCCCAACACTCACACAGGACCTTCAACACTTTCACTGTTCTGATTTAAAAGAGAGGTAGAGCAGGTTATCATCCACATACTGATGAACACCCAGCCCAAACCCCCTGAAGATCCCTCACAGAGGCTTCATATAGATGTTAAAAAGCATGGGGGAGAGGGCAGAACCTTTTGGTGAGAGGTGAGAGCCCAGGGGTCTGAACACTTATCCCCAAACACCACTTTCTGGACACGGTCCAGGAGGAAGGAGCAAAACCACTGTGTAACAATGCCCACAGCTCCCAGCCCCTCTAGACGGTCCAGAAGGATGTTATGGTCGATGGTATCAAAAGCTGCTGAGAGATCCAGCAGAACTAGGAAACAGCTTTCACCTTTGTCCCTAGCCTGCCGAAGAGCACTGACCAGCACGACCATGGCAGTTTCAGTCTCATGATGAGGCCAGAATCCCAATTGGAAGGGATCCAAATGGTCTGCATCCTCCAGGTGTGCTTGGTGTTGTTCAGCAACCACCTTGCCCAAGAATGGAAGATTTGAGACTGAGTGATAGTTGGCCATATTGGCTGGGTCGAAATATTTATTTTTTAATAACCAGTTTTATAACCAGCACTTTCAGTGGGTTTGGGAAGGCTCTTTAACAGAGCGAAGCATTCACCACCCCACAGAGCTTTTATGAGCCAGGATGGGCAAGGATGAAGGAGACAGGTGGTCAGTTTCACTCATCCAAGCAGCCTGTCCACATCCTCAGAGGTAACACATTGGAATTCCAGCAATCTGGCACCAGCAAATGTCTTGAAGAGCACTGAGGCGTAGACAATGCTCTTTTACTTTATCATTATGTTATTTGGATTCTGTTTTGCATGGTGATTTGCAAAGATACAAAAAGTGAATTGATTCCACAAAATTACTATTCTTAAGTCATATGTTTTCAGCTCGGTCCAAGGCACAATGACATGGAAATAATTTCTACCAACTTCTATAGTAGTTTGGATTTTGGATTTGATATCCCGCTTTATTTAAACTACCCTAAGGAGTTTCAAAGAGGCTCACAACCTCCTTTCCCCTCCTTTCCCACAACAAACACTCTGTGAGGTGAGTGAGGCTGAGAGACTTCAGAGAAGTGTGACTAGCCCAATAGTAGTTATTGGGGAAAAACTGATACTAGCGTAACGGTCAAACTTTGCTACTAGATTCTGTGGAATGGCCTTTTCTCTTAGGTAAATGTGCAAGCTAATGCAATCTTGGTTCTGTCAGAGATGATTTACATTAATATATTCTTTGGGCATACCAGAACTCTCTTTCTCACTTTTTGTTCTGTTGAATTCCAGTTGTCCAAGCAATATGGCCCTGTCTTCAGCATCCAAATGGGACCCCAGAAAACTGTGGTGTTGACAGGATATGAGACACTAAAGGAGGCTCTGGTTAATCAGGCGGACTCATTTGCTGACAGGCCCATCGTTCCAATGTTTCAGGAGTTTGGACGAGGCTTTGGTGAGGCACCTCCCTTTCTATTGGAACTGGTAATGCTTGCAGACACACACAGGTCCCACAAGGTGAACACAATCTGTTCCCAAGAAATGGTTTGTAGGATAAGCGTTTGCAGAGCAAGTCCACAACATCCATTGTTTCCTGTGGGGAAAATCCTTGTGACTTTTTCAACCAACCTCAGTGCCTTTGACATTGACAGAGTATCTGCAGGCATTAGGCTGAGAATGTGTCACAAAAAGTGTCACCTGTGGATTTTTGCAGATCAAGCTAAAGTGTTAAAAAGAGTAGACCAGGCCAGCCTTTTTTGGTCTTGACTTTCAGTGGATAAGTGGTGCTCTCTTGAAGAAACAAAAATGGAGACCAGTTAAAGCAAACCTTTCCCATTCCCACCTTCTTCCAAACAGTCATATTGTAGAGCTGGGGGAGAATGGGGCAGGAGAATGTAATAGTTGTCACATTTGAATTGTGAATGATTGTCACATGGAAAAGTAATGCCACACACCAAGGGGAAACTGACTATTTTCCGGCATAGCCGACACAGAGAGGATAAATTAAGAAGGCATAATGTCTGCCCATGGAATACAAATAACAAGCTGAGTTCTGCTGTGACACCTGACATGTACAAACCACCCTCTACTCTACCCTACACTTTGTAATGGAAAATATTGATCAATGTGTTCTCAGGTCATGGTCTGATGACACATCTGCCAGCTACTTTGTCAAAGCTCAGAAGTCTGAGTCTGAATGGGAGAACAGCTGGGATCCACTCTCAGTTCCATGGAAGAAATGCAGAACATAATTTATTGATATTTTTGTGCAATTGTCATGCAGACATGAGATCTTTCTTCCTGTCTCTTCAGGTTTAACTCTGTCTAATGGTGAAAACTGGAAAGTAATGCGGCGGTTTGCTTTAAGCACATTGCGGGACTATGGAATGGGAAAGAAGACCATAGAGGACAGAATTATTGAGGAATGCAGTGTCCTGATAAAGAAATTTGAATCTTACGAAGGTGGGTTTCTGTTTTCCTCTGGTGCGTAGCTACATTACCATAGTTTAAAGGTGCCAAGACTATTGTGTTACATATTCATAACTTCCAGAAGCACAGATCCCAGGGTTCCCTGCAATTGGTCGGTTCCTGTAATGTGCAGATTGCACTGCAATAACTCCTGTGACTTCCAAGCATTTCTTAGCCCAGCTATGGCCACATCCAGCAACACTTAGGTTTAGTTTCTTTGTTAAATGAGGTCTACACATAGGGAAGCTGCCAGTGGGGACTTAAGACAACATGAACAGACTTAAAAACAATGCCCTTTCCATGCTTTGAATTTCTGTGGGGATGTTCAGGGAGGCAGGAGGGGATATATTGTTTAATTATATCTTCCCTAACTTGCGTTAGCAAGTTCTATATCTTAGCAGAGTTTAAATGCATAGCAGTTTGCTTGTTGCAGGCTCGTCTGAGCTTCTCTATATAAGATTCCTGGTAAGATCCCTTCTTTTCCCTCTTAAAAAGAATAGACATGACAATCTTATTAAAGTCAATATAAAAGTAGTTTACTCACATTCATTCAGTTCATGGATGGATGGATCCCTCAAGGCAAACTTAGGTTACAAAAGTATATATACATGTGGAACTATCCCATAAGGGAGTTAGTCCCAAGTGACTGCAGACAAGCAGTGACTTCTACTAACATGTAGAAAAATGGAGGAGGAGGAGGAGGAGGAGGAGGAGAAGCAGCAGCAGCAGCATAGAAGGAGGTGTGCTCCCCTAACCCAGATTAGGCCACACCCACATCTAGTCACATGCAGAGGAAGTTTGTCCCAGCTCAGGAGGAAACACAAAGTTGTTCGGATATTTACGTATCTGAATATTTGGAGCCCACACGCTTCCCTCAGCTCTCCGGTCAGCTACTGTAGCAAAGTGCACGCAGCGTGAGACTGTTGCTGTGCGTGTGTGTGTGATAAATCAGACTGCACGCACGGTGTCTTCCTTATCTTCTAAAAGTCTTTATTCGTGTAGAAAAACAACCCATAAATCTCCTCCTGGTGATCGAGCGCTCATCTTGCTCGTCTCTCTCCGTTGCGAACGGAACAGCACTGAGTCACAGGAAACACTCCCCTCAGTATACTAAACCACGCCTCAGAATGTGAGACGTCACTCAGAACTTCTTAACCCTGTAAGTTCTGTTTCTCTCCACAAAAGTTTTCTCCTGGCTGGTAGAAAGCATCCACTAGCATGTCCATTCTAGGAACGTTGTACTCGACTCCTGTGTTTCTTACATCCCACATTTTAAAAAGAATATTTTTGCTTAACTGTCATAATTATTTCTAGGAAACCCATTTGAGACCACCACAATTATGAATGCAGCTGTTGCCAATATTATAGTGGCCATACTACTAGACAAGCGATTTGATTATGAAGATTCCACATACATTAGGCTTCTGAAGTTGGTCAGTGAAAATACCCGGCTCGTTGGAAGCTCTTCAGTCCTGGTAATCTATTCTTTTCCAATAAAACAAACATTTGATTGTAATGACATTGTATGCAAAGTGGGCAGGGCAACCTGTTTATTGTATGTTGTTCACGATTCACTACAAAACACAGAATTGATATCTTGAGAAACCAGGTGGCGATTCAAAATATTTAGAAAACCTCACATGGCACAGTCATCCCGTAACTGTAACAAAGTCTCTTTTGCACACACGCTTTCTGGCCTCACTGCCATCGGGACTCCAAGGACAAGGAAGAACAAGTGATAGTTGGTTCCATGATGGCTCAGAAGGGGCCTCCAAGGGCAGATCTCCCTCTCTGAAGGCGAACCTCCAGAGGAGACCTTCCATAGCCTATTATTCTGGGGTTGCACATAAATTACGCTGCCCTGAGGTATCCCTAACCCCATTCCAAATGCCATTCAAGAGTTTTGTTTGTATTTGGGCAACCATGCTTTGAGAGACACAGTTGAGACAACTGTACTGAGCTTTCCTAATGTTTCTTTCTTTTTTCACATTTTTATCCTTTCAGCTGTATAACATGTTTCCTGCTCTTGGTTTTCTTCTGGGGGCTCGTAAGACTATCATTCAAAACAGAGATGAGGTTTTTGCCTTCATAAATGCCACCTTCATAAAACACCTCAGAGATCTGGATGAAAATGACCAGAGGAGCTTTATTGACTCATTTCTTATCCGACAGCAAGAGGTAATGGAGTCTTATAAGTTGGCCCAGAATAAACATTGACATTTTCAATTCTTTTTTTTTAAAGGCATATTTGCAAGTGAATGTTTAAGTTGTAGTCAGGAAGTCTCACTTCAGAAGGGACCAACCTGGCATACTTCCTACCATTTCCCAATAGTCAGCCATTGTTAATGTGTTACAGAAGTTGCCTCTGCAGGGGCAAAGGTTGCACGCTCAACAGCATTGCTGGGGTAAATCCCTGATCAAGAAAACATGACAGTTGGGGTGTATGAGTTTTCAGGGGTGGAATTATGGCAGATAGACCATTGGCTTATGAGAGGTAATGGTTGCCTGACTCCCTTTTGATACAAGGGGGATGGGAAAACGCCTCGTGTGCTCAGAAGAAGGTGTTCTTCACACCGGAGGAGATAGGAAACTTTGTGGGTGGAGAGGCATCTCAGAGCAAGGAAAAAACATTGGCCCATGCACTGCGCTTGTTGTTGGTGGTGGTGGTGTTTAGTCGTTTAGTCGTGTCCGACTCTCTGTGACCCCATGGACCAGAACACGCCAGGCACTCCTGTCTTCCACTGCCTCCCGCAGTTTGGTCAGACTCATGTTCGTAGCTTCGAGAACACTGTCCAACCATCTCGTCCTCTGTTGTCCCTTTCTCCTTGTGTCCTCACTCTTTCCCAAATCAGGGTCTTTTCCAGGGAGTCTTCTCATGATGCAGCCAAAGTATTGGAACCTCAGCTTCACTATCTGTCCTTCTAGTGAGCACTCAGGGCTGATTTCCTTAAGAATGGATCGGTTTGATCTTCTTGAAGTCCATGGGACTCTCAAGAGTCTCCTCCAGCACCATAATTCAAAAGCATCATCAGCCTTCTTTATGGTCCAGCTCTCACTTCCATACATCACTAATGGTGATAGCTTTAACTATACAGTGGTACCTTGGGTTACAGACGCTTCAGGTTTCAGACGCTCAGGTTACGGACACTGCTAACCCAGAAATAGTACCTCAGGTTAAGAACTATTGGTGTTACTCTTCCTGTTGGAAAGTGTGGCAGAAGTGAGTTCCAATCTCCAAAATATGGAGGGCACCACATTGTCTATCACAATTTAATGAAACATCTCCAGATGAATATGTGGTATTTCAGTGTTATTTTTCCATTTTAGACTATGAGTAAATACATTAAAGATGTTCAACTGAGAACCATATATATCAGCAGAAAACAACACTTTATGTTAACTTTGATTTCAGATCTCCACAAGTGTTCGCCAGAAATGCTGCCTTCCATGTATGCAGTCATATAATACTCTTGCAGGTTAAGCACTGGCTGAGCAGTTAAGCACCACGATTAGCATCAGAGAAGAAGGAGCTGGATTGCCAAGCCTTCCCAACCTCCTCTCTTAGCTGGTAGATGGAGAGCAACAGCTGTGACTATGGAGAAGCTAGATGTTTTGGAGTGTTGATGCTGAGCCCCTCCATCTTAGGCTCGGGTTGTATACATGTGTAAATAAACCCTATATTATCATGATGGCATAGTCTGGAAGACCTGGAATCTCTCACTACTTAGCGATTGTGTTGATGTGCAATGATGGGTCCTGTCAGGTTTTCATCTTTATCTTTGCACTTGAAATTTTCTCACTCCATTCGTTTTAACCAGTTCATACTCTTTGCAACCCAGGAGGAGGAGAAGAACAAGACGAATGCATATTTCCACAACGAAAACTTAAAAACTGTTGTGGCCGACTTATTTGGTGCTGGCACGGAGACAACTTCTACCACACTACGCTGGGGACTGTTACTAATGATGAAATATCCTGAAATTCAGAGTGAGTGCTTTTCATTGGCTTGGCACCCATTAATCTGATATATCTTAATTCCAGTTATATGTAATTATTAGAAAGTGTGTGTGTGTGTGTGTGTGTGTCACAACAATTATTCAATCCTAAATTTAACATTTCAATCTGGACTCCCTTCTCCCTTTCTGTGGTTTTACATTTCATTTCATCTTCCTACATCATTTAGATATATATTTCTGTATATATCCCATATGTCCCATATATATCCCAGAAGGTTTTTACATTAATCCTCCCAGTGTCTTAGTATGTTTACAGTTTGTTTGTAAATACTCTATAAACCATTTCCATTCCTTTCATTCCTTTTTAGGTAGTTCCGATTCCAAACTTCCCAAAAGAAAAACTAATGGTTTTTTAAACATCTTAAACATCTTTTTCAGTTCATTATATATCATTTCCCAGTTTTAACTTTATTAGTAGAGCACCACATATGAAAAAGTCTACCTTCTTTGTCTTTACATTTCCAGCACATATTCAGTTTGGGTTTATACATTTTAGCCAATCTATTAGGTGTTAGGTCCCATCTATATGGGACGCGGGTGGTGCTGTGGGTTAAACCACAGAGCCTAGGGCTTGCCGATCAGAAAGTCGGCAGTTCGAATCCCCACAACGGGGTAAACTCCCATTGTTCGGTCCCTGCTCCTGCCAACCTAGCAGTTTGAAAGCACCCCCGGGTGCAAGTAGATAAATAGGTACCACTCCGGCGGGAAGGTAAACGGGGTTTCCGTGCGCTGCTCTGGTTTGCCAGAAGCGGCTTAGTCATGCTGGCCACATGACTCGGAATCTGTACACCGGCTCCCTTGGCCAATAAAGCGATATAAGCACCACAACCCCAGAGTCGTCCCCGACTGGAACTAATGGTCAGGGGTCCCTTTACCTTTATCTTTACCATCTATATAACATTTTCATATAGTTTTCTCTTAAACTATAAAATCCTCCAAATTTTATATCCACCTTTGATAAACTTTCCCATACATCCGTTTTTATATTATTAACAATATCTATTGCCCAGTGTATCCTTGAAGATTTCACTTGTTCATCCTTTGTCTCCCATTCCAATAACATATTATACATTTTAGATATCACTTAAACATTACAGTTTAATAGGTCTCTTTCCAGTTGTGATGCTTGTTCCCCAACCCCACCACTTCATATCCTTTTTAAATATTTCATTCAAATGATGATATTGTAACCATGTTGTTAACTTCTCTGATAAAACCTTAAATTATTTTACTTTAAATTCTCCAAAGGTGAAAGTCATAGTGGTATATTGGTCTCCAACAGGTTTCTGTTTTTAGTGTTTCTCTGATAAAACCTTAAATTATTTTACTTTAAATTCTCCAAAGGTGAAAGTCATAGTGGTATATTGGTCTCCAACAGGTTTCTGTTTTTAGTGTTTCTGTTTTAAATATTTAAAACACTTTTCCACTCTATTTCTTGGTTTATTATCATTGAATATTGCATTTGCAACATCTTGACATCCTGTTTCACTATCTCTTTTCAAGGGAAATTTACTAATTGTTTCCCTTTCCCTTTTATTTCTTGTAAATTTTCTTGGTTTTTTCTGCTTGCTTATATTTGTTTGGTATGCGCTTTGCTATGTAAAAAAAAACCACCCCTACATTACCACTTTACTCACACCCCATACCACCTTTAAATCTATCTCTTGGTTTAAATTAATTTCAAAATAATCCTTTAATTTTTTGCCCCCTTTTCTAATATTTCTTGATTTAATAAATTTTATAATTTACTAATTTTTCATTTAGTCTCCATCTCATCGGTAAACTTGTCTCTGTTCTTAATTCCACTGTTATAGAGTTGTAGTCTCGTAATGTTCTTGATTTCTGCCCTCTTTACCTTAGTATAAAAATCTTTAGAAATCCATACAGGGGTTTTTTCCAGCTTGCAGAAAAATTCGCAGTCGAATAAAATGTACTATGGGTGTTTTTCTCTCCAAATGTCAATTAAACTTAAATTGTCAGTCGCTTGCCTTCTTTTGTTTCATTTTTTCTTATACTTATATTCCTGTCCCAATCTAGGGAGGCTACACCATTCATATCACCCATCAAAATCACCTTTTCATTCAACTGTTCAAATAATATTTCTTCTAGCCCCTAATGAAAATCTGGTGTATTTTCCCATTATCAATATTCTTCCTTGTTCATCTTTGAATAATTGTTTTGGGTCCAAATCTGGTTTTATACACATTACAACTCCTCTCTTTTTTGTTATATTAGAAGGTACAAAGTTCTTTCCCAACCTTTTATTTAAGCTTTATTTATCCAAGTTTAACTTCTTTACAACATGTTCAATTTTATTCCCTTTAGTCTTATTATTTAGCCTATTTACATTCCAAGTTAGAATTTTCAAAGCCATCTTGTTCCATATTTGTTTCTCTTTCACCTCTACCTCTGTTGAATCATCCTCTTCCTGTCCAGCTTTCTGTCCAAATGCTCTTTCTCCAACTAACTTTCCCCCATATTTTCTCCAAAATTTGTCTTGCCTTTATATGTAAAAGATACCACCTCAAGATATTCCCAGCAGTGATATTTCAATAATCATCCTGGATGAATTTCTCTCCATCAGTATATCAGGTTATTGGCTAAAATGTTTGTTTGTCCTGTTTTAAAATACCTTGGCCTAGAGATTAAATTTGCAAGCCTAGGGAATTGGAGAAACACTTTATGACAGTTTTATGCTTCAAGAACTAATATCTTAAGAGATCAAGGTCAAGGAGATAATCCTGGCAGAAAAATTAATGCTTTTCTTTTAATTTCCCCTAGTAAAGGTCCAAGAAGAAATTGCAAAGGTTGTTGGATCTTCTCAGCCAAGGATTGAACACCGAACAAAAATGCCTTATACAGATGCCGTGGTCCATGAGATCCAGAGATTTGCTGATATTGTCCCAACCAACCTGCCACATTCCACGACTACGGATGTTACCCTCAATGGCTACTTCATTCCAAAGGTGATCCATTTCACCGAACTGCTGCCCACTAGTTACAATACATTTTAAGGCTTTCCTGGGAGTAAGCCCCTTGGACTTCAGTGTGGGTGACATCTGTGCAGACTTGTATAGGATTGCACGGTAAGCATGCAATCTACCCTTTGGAAGCTGTCAGGCATCAACTTCAACCCATTAAACAGATCTCAGTGGGAAGGAGCACAAGGTTGGAAAACAAACCATATCTGGTGGAAGATCATGACTTATATGTTAAAGTTTTTCAAACAAAAGACATTTCTCATATGAATTCAAATCTCATTTCTACAGCACTCAATATTTATTGGACTAGAGGCATATGCTTTATTTTAAAATAACTCTCGCTTTGCTTTTGCAGGGGACTCACATCATACCATTGCTGTCCTCTGTGCTGCACGATGAATCTCAATGGGAGAAACCACATAAATTCTATCCTGAGCATTTTCTTAATTCTGATGGAAAATTCGTAAAGAGAGATGCTTTCATGCCTTTCTCTGCAGGTAACTTTTTTTTTTTTTTTGCTTTTGTCTGTGTGTATCTGCATAGTGTGTGCTTAGTCAATGGGATTTTTACAAGCCTGGAATGTAGGTAAGGATCACATCAGTTGCTGTGGCCATTTCTGCCACCATTGGGGTGTGGCCCCTGCAATGTTTCTCACCAGGGAATGTGGCCCTCAGGGTGAAAAAGATTCCCCTTCCCCCCAGTTTTCAGCATTGCAGGATGGCTCGTATTAGGAGTTCATAATTCTTTTAAGATGGATACCATTAGCTGTTATTTTATTGCTGCAATTTAATCTGCTTTAAACTACAGTGGTACCTCAGTTTCTGAACTTAATCCGTTTCAGAAGTCCATTCTTAAACCGAAACCATTCTTAAACCGAGGTGCGCTTTCATTAATGAGGCCTCCTTCCGCTGGTGCCCTTCCACCGCTCAGATTCCGTTCTTAGACTGAGGTAACATTTGCAAACCGGGACACTACTTCTGGTTTTGCGGAGTTCGTAAACCAAATTGTTCGTAAACAGGGCTGTTCTTAAACCGAGGTACCACTGTATTTGGGATGTTTTTAAGCAACTGATAAACCTGGTTTCTCTGCCCCCTTTGATTCATTACAGGTCGGAGAGCATGTGTAGGTGAGACTCTTGCCAAAATGGAGCTCTTCCTCTTCTTCACAACTCTGCTGCAGAGATTCACCTTCCAGCCACCCCCTGGAACATCTCAAGAAGACCTGGACCTTACTCCTGCTGTTGGGCTTACAACACCTCCCATGCCCTACCAACTCTGCGCTCTGCCACGTTTCTAAGACTCACAAGCTCCTGGATTGCTTTGTCATTAGCTCGTCCTACACTCAAGTAGGACCCTGGTAGAGTCACATGACTGACTGGCATATTCTTTCCCTCGTGGTCATTCGTTTGGGAGCTTCAAAAGCTTTCTTCAGCCTGAACATTACAGTGACCGATGCCAACAGACATTGGCACACTTAGGGATCCACAGAGTCTTCACAGCTTGCGTAACAGACCTCAGCAACTCAGCATTTTGGCTAATCTACTTTATTTACATATAAACACACATGGAGCACTGCAACATGGCTCCCTCTCTCTCTAGCATCAGACAGCAAAGAGAAAGAGCAAAGGACAATAGTCCCACTTCACAGAACACAGTAACACAAACATCCATGTCTCCATCACTTCCCACTTTGTGGAGTCAAAATATATACCATCATGTGATAGACAACAATCCCATGACTGCAATCACAGAGCAGGAATTCTAACATGCTTATCCTACCTGTTTTTGCAATGCAAGCCTTTTTTAAACACGCCTGTTCAACAAGGGTATTTGGGTTGAGTAGCCTACTGGTGGAATTGGTCCATGCTTTGTCACAAACATGAAGTGTTCCCCTTTACCTGCCATACTGCCGAATCCCATGAAACTAGCATTGGAGCATCTCTTACTTAAAACCTGGCCCTGAGTTCTTATGACACTTGGGGCATAGAGATCAAACAACAAAGCTGGTTGCATGTATTCCCATGTTAACATATACTTTCAAATATCTTGAAGCATGGTATTCCCAAGTAGATGTGCAGTGAATTGTGACCAAGACGATAAAGGGTCTGGAAACCAAGCCTTATGAGGAATGGTTGAGGAAGTTGGGTGTGTTAACTTCTGTGGCTCCAATGTATTCGGATTCTGAACTGTATTTGTTGATGTCAGGCAATGGCTTTGTTTCCTCCTGGTTCTTTAAAAACTCTACCATAATAGATGCGTCAACTGGGTTTGCTTCTGCCATCTCTATGCTGTCAATTAGTTCAGTGACTTTCTGCTTCTGGCTTAGAATAAAACAACCATCTTTTCTCTGTATTTGGACTCCTAGATAATACAGTGGTACCTTGGTTTATGAACTTAATCCATTCCGGAAGTCCGTTCTTAAACCAAAGCGTTCTTAAACCAAGGCGTGCTTTCCCATAGCAGCGGGGGACTCAATTTACAAATGGAACACACTCAACAGGAAGTGGAAAATGTCCTGCTTCCAAGGCAAAGCTCACAAACCAAAACACCTACTTCTGGGTTTGCAGTGTTCTTAATCCAAGTTGTTCATAAACTAAGCCGTTCTTAAACCAAGATACCACTACAATGAACTTTCTCTGAGAGTCTGGGTAGCTTAAAGCTTCCCTCATCAACAGAATTCTGACTGGTTATATCAAAAATAAAAATGGGGGAAATGTGTCAAATTCAAAATCAAAATTTACATCTCCAAAAGATGAAAAACTCAAAACCTTCTCTGCCTAGCTACTGCTCTGGGAGGGAAGAGGGAGCTAATCCCTTTCACATTGGAGTCAATCTATATCACCATGTTATCACCAGGAAATAGGAAAAAAATGTTCGCTTTGAATCTCTCTTCTCTCTTGTTTCTGTATATATGTAATTTTTATTTATTTCCCATTTAATAATATACGTTCACATCATTACAATCCACTTTACGTCCCTGGCTCTTTACAGCCTATCAACTTCCTTCCCTCCCACCTTATGCCTTTCAAAGTTAACCTTTACACCATTGTATTTTGTACGTTTTCCAATTCTAATTCCACTCATTACAAAATAATTCAAAATTTAAATATAGAAAGGTAGAAAATTTCCCATTACAAGGCTTCAGACACCCCTGCTAGTGATGATAATTGCTTACAATAATCTTTCAGATATAGTCGTACCTTGTTTGGTGACCGGGATCCGTTCCAGAGCCCTGGCTGCTAGCCGAAAAGGACATAGGGCAAAGCCCCACGTCTGCACTTCTATGCATGCATGAAGCGCAATTTAGTGCTTCTTTTTTAGTGCAAACCCGGAAGTAACCATTCCGGTACTTCCGGGTTTGCAGCGGATGTTCGCTGGAATGGACGCTAGATGAGGCAGACATTTGCAGAGGTATCACCATATTGTATAAATTTATTCCAGCCCTTTTGAAATGAGAGGATGCACTGCTTAGTTAGTATCCTTCCTTTCAAACTAAATGCTTTTGTCCCTAATTCAAGTTGAATAATTTCATCTGCAAATGATTTCACAATGCTGCTCTCTACTCCCAGGGTAACAAACAAACTAAGATTACAGGTAATCCTGAGTGATGAGTTTGCTGCCTTCAAGAGCATTTGAATCTGTTCTGAAAGCATTAGTTTCTGCAAGTAAGCACCATTCACTTGAATAAACATTAAACTGAAAGGCAAATCATCCAATGTACAGCTCTGAATAGTTGTGGAGAAGAAGAAAAATCAGAGGGATGGTTTAATGATTCGCTAGAGACATTACATAGCATTATATATGGGCTGCTCCTTGCAGTTGGTAGACACAGTTGTTGACCAAATTGCACTGTGGCTTTCATTATAACCACTACCCCAAAAAAATTGCTTCCTGAAACAAAATGGATTGGATGGAGCCGATTCCAGCGTTGTTCCTCTTTATCCTTATGATTTCCTTTGTTTTGAAACTGGGCACTTTCTGGAACAAGAGCTACCAAAAACTTCCGCCAGGACCAAGGGCTTTGCCTCTCATTGGGAATCTCCACAGCATGGATCTGAAGAGGCCTTATAGAACCATGCTAAAGGTAAAGATTCCAGTTCTTCCCATGGCAAGGGAAGTACTGGGTACTGGGGCATACTGGGTACTGGGGCAGCCCAGTCAGAAGAGTGGGGTATTATTATTATTATTATTATTATTATTATTATTATTATTATTATTACTATTACTATTATTACTACTACTACTACTACATTGCATTTTGTTCTCTTAGAGCCTATAAATCTCATCTCCCCTTTTTATGCTACAGAACCTCCTCTTATCTTTCCCAATAAATAGTCATAGGACCAAGTTGCAATTTATAGCTGGTAATTTGAACAAGGTGTCTGGGGGTGTCTGGTGTCAAATCAGGTTTGACTCTGCCTCCATTATCAAGAATGCAGAAGTGCCCGTGCAAACCTTAACAGCAACCAGGACCTGTGGAGGAGGGACCTTGCTTGCCCAGTCGCAAAGCTCAGGACATAAGCCATGCAAGTAGAGGTGCCCCCCCCCCTACAAAAGGGTGTGTGTCAAGTATTTGATCAATGTCTTGGCCAAGTCTATCCCCGTCTTGTTATACTCTTGCATGCACCACCTGTTTGTAACATGGAAACCCATTTTGGGATGCTTGTACTTATTTTACCAATAAAACTTTCAAGCCCAAGGAGAGCACTGCAAATGAAACAAAGAGAAAGAAAAATAAGCTTTGCAGAAAGATATTTATTTTAGATATGGCCTCCTTCTAAATAAATAAAATCCAAGTTTGAGTTTTGAAATAGGTATTGCATACATTTAATCTCTCCCTCTCCATTATCTTCTTATGGAAAATGGTAACTAAAGAGAGGGGAAGGATACCACAGACCAGGCCCACCTGTGAACTTTTAGCATTTTCTAATATGCTGCCGAGGTGATGCAAAGGTATATTGGTATATGTCTGCAGGTTTCTTTTCTGGCTCTGCCTTACTGTTTACAGCACCCTGGCATGCAGCCATTCATTCACAGAGAGTGTTTTTGTTTGCCTTAAGTCTGCAAATTATACATAATTACTGCCTTCTTATTTGGTATGTTGCTTGCCTTAATGTTTCCTAACTCTGTCCACATGAAGCTCAAGAGAGGCTTGGAACTTCACTGGGGGAGATGGTTTATTGATGATGATGATGATGATGATGATGATGATTCAATTTATTTCCTGCCCTTTCTCCGAAGGCTACTTCATGGGCCAATTGATGGAGGTGAAAAACATGTGAATTTGTTGTTGATTGAGAAAGGGGATGCCAAGGTGTGAAAAATCATTAGTGTGCGCAGGTGCACTTATTTCTGAAGTGTTGGTCCCTCTCCGCCCCCCCCCCAAGGCAACCCATATGGCTTTGGCAATCTTCACCATGCCTACTCAGAAGTAAATCCCTCTGAAACCAGTAAGGCTTACTCCCAGGTTAGTCAAGTGAGAATTTCAACCATAATCTGCTTCCTGTTGTGGAATGCATCGCTCTTTGTTCTTTTCACATGGAAAGAAGCTACTTGTCTTATTACCTGTAGATTTTATCAGTGCTCCTTTGTTAAGCTTCTAGTCTCTTTGTCAAAGTGTACAGAACGGTCTGAATGTCACGTCCCAGTTTTTGCCACATTAAACCTCAGGGCTGGCCAGCCACATTTTGTCACTCGAAGCAAAACAGAAAATGACCCCAACACCTTCTCCTCCTCCACCTTCTGACGCAACTCGAGGTGGCCTGGTTAAGCCCTGGTGCACTCAAGGCAGCGGGGGGAGCAAAAAGAGCAGCTGCAGCCCCAACTCCCAAGTCTCCGTGAGCAGCATGCCCCTCGGAGGCCTTCAAGCTACAGAGACACAAAGGGGAGAGTCATGGTGGGTGGGTTTAGGCTCCTTGGATCTGCTGCACCCCTCCACTGTTGCGTGGTGAGGCCCCGGGGCCCCCAGTTCCCCTTAATAAACACATGGACACAAATATTTTTAGCTAATGGGATAAATAAGGTCAGAACTTTATTGGTTACAGATGTGAGTGGTTTGGCTTAGGCATTGTGTGAAACCAGACTATATCCTGATTCCTGCACGTCCACAGGAAGTCTCTTAAGGGTCAACCACCAGTAGGGAGAGCCCTAGGATATTGTCACGGGAATTGGGGTTGCTTGTGTGTAAACCTCTAGCGGTTCCAAACTTCTTAGGGGTGGGTTGTGTCTTCCCTGACTGAGCAGCTTGGGTGCTGCTGCTGCTCAGTCGCTCGACTGAGTGGGCGTTTTCTAAATTTCCTCCAGCATAGAAGCTCCTTGACGGATAATCTCCGCCTCCCCTCTCTGCGCGAAACCCTTCTGCACAGAGTGGGCGTGCCCAGGGGTGGCCCTCCACTCTCTTCACTGCCTTCAGTGCCAGAGTCTCGGAGCCTCTCCTCCAAGATGCTTTCCCCCTCTTCCTTCTTCCTGGTGTCACCTGGACATTCTTCCCCAGATGACGTTCTCTTTCTACCCTTACTCGTTCCTTCTCCTGCAGAATCAGGAAGTACCGCCTCTCCCCTCTGCTCCGATGTCAGTTCCCTGACAGATATACATCAATTAAAAGCTCCCCCAGGGTCCCTGATGGGGTTGTGGCATGGCCCTAGCCCACGCTCAGGCTTCGGGCAGGATCCACACTCCTGGATCCCTTTAACGGGATACCTTTAACAAGGAGGGGCAGGCGGAGGCAACAACCTTCCCTCCCGTAAACAAGGCTTACGCAATGCCTAACCTTACAAAGTTGTGGCGATTGCTACAAGGTAAGCGAAAACCAAATGGCTGGGGCCAATTTGCCAAGTGGAAAAATGCCTACCTGGCCCCAACAATAAGGCAACCAACATTAGTCTATAGGCCAAAGTCAAGCAACGCATAAAAGAGGGCGGGTGGGCTGGGTGATCCGACGAGGAGGCAAAAAGGAGGCTGCCCCCTCAGCTGCGCTGTGATTTAAACTGCAGTGGCCATGCCCCCTGGCTAACCAGACTGGTCCGCCAGGGTGTGTGACGCGGCTGGGAGTCCCAATGATGCGGGCAGCATCCCTCTGCCCACTGCTGGGTCACAGGGTGGTCCTGGATGCCCTCCCGCAATTCCACCCCCCCAGGGAAGGGGAGTGGTCTTCCCAGCCTGCTGCCTAAGGCTAACCGGCAGGCAGGCCCCACTAAACCTGCACTTTAAAAGTAAAATTAAATTTGAAACGTAAAACAACAGGTCTTCTCTCCTCTTCTGCCTCTAGCGCAGCCCTCTTGCTTGAGCCTAACTTTTAAACTAGATTAAAAAGGTAAAGGTACCCCTGCCCTTACGGGCCAGTCTTGCCAGACTCTAGGGTTGTGCGCTCATCTCACTCTATAGGCCGGGAGCCAGCGCTGTCCGAAGACACTTCCGGGTCACGTGGCCAGCGTGACAAGCTGCATCTGGCGAGCCAGCGCAGCACACGGAACGCCGTTTACCCTTCCCGCTAGTAAGCGGTCCCTATTTATCTACTTGCACCCGAGGGTGCTTTCGAACTGCTAGGTTGGCAGGCGCTGGGACCGAACGACGGGAGCGCACCCCGCCGCGGGGATTCGAACCGCGACCTTTCGATCGGCAACCCTAGGCGCTGATCTAAACTAGATTAGAGAGGTGCTATTAAAGGTAAAGGGGACGCGGGTGGCGCTGTGGGTAAAAGCCTCAGCGCCTAGGGCTTGCCGATCGAAAGGTCGGCGGTTCGAATCCCCGCGGCGAAACCTGTAGCCAACAGGTTTGCCACCGTTCATGCATGTGGAGGAGCGGCAATCGCCATTCGCGCCTGCACGGAAGCGGGCAATCGTTGCCTGTGCCTGTGCCCAATGGCGCCTCGCCCAGTGACCCATTTCAACTTTTAGACGGGCCTCTGGAACGGATTGTGGTCATGAGTACAGGTTCCACTGTATGTCATTTGGATTCTGTTATGCACAGTGATTTGCAAAGACAGAAAAGTAAATTCATCTGCAAAATTACTGTTTTTAAATCACATGTTTTCAGCTCAGTCCAAGGCACAGTGACTTGTAAGTGATTTCTACTGACTGTAAAGGTAAAGGTAAAGGGACCCCTGACAGTTAAGTCCAGTCGCGAATGACTCTGAGGTTGCGGCGCTCATCTCGCTTTACAGGCCGAGGGAGCCAGCGTTTGTCCGCTCTGCAGACAGTTTTTCTGGGTCATATGGCCAGCATGACTAAGCCGCTTCTGGCAAAACCAGAGCAGTGCACGGAAACGCTGTTTACCTTCCCTCTGGAGTGGTACCTATTTATCTACTTGCACTTTTCGGGGTGCTTTCGAACTGCTAGGTTGGCAGGAGCTGGGACCGAAAAACCGGAGCTCACCCTGCCACAGGGATTCAAACTGCTAACCTTCCAATCAGCAAGCCCAAGAGGCTCAGTGGTTTAAACCACAGCACCACCCGTGTCCCTTTCTACTGACTGTAGTAGCATTTATTGAATAAAACTGCAAATAATCTTACGTGAAAACTTTACTACTTGATTCTGTAGAATGTATAAAATAGTTCTTACTCTGAGGCAAGTGTACAAGCTACTGCAGTTTTGTATCCATGAGAGTGGCTTTACATTAATATATTATTTGAGTACCCTTGAATAGTGAGAAGGGCTTTATTTGGTGACCACACTGTGTTCGTTCTATTGAATTTCAGTGGTCAAAAGAGTATGGCTCTGTCTTCAGCATCCAAATGGGTTCCAAGAAAATGGTGGTGCTGACAGGATATGAGACGGTAAAGGAGGCCCTGGTGAATCAGGCCGATGCATTTGCCGAGAGGCCCATTGTCCCAATTTTGGAAGAGATCACAAAGGGCTTTGGTGAGTCCGTTCCTTATGTAGTATCTGGTACTGCTTGTAAATAGATTAACCATGCCAAAAGAGTCTAATCCAAAAGTTATCATGGGAGAAATGCAAAGTATACTTTCCCCTCTCTGTAGATTCGTGGCTTACTCTATGTAATGCGTATGGGTTGCTCGTGCGTAAACTGCCGCCTCTCCAGGCTAAATTGCCTTGTTAAACCTTTCTGACTGCACAGCCCTTCTCATCGTGGCTGCCTCAGTCGCTAGCAGAATCCGTTAGTGGGCGTTTCTTAAACCTCTTCCAACATAAAAGTTGTTTGACTCCCAGTCTCCTCCTCCTCTCACTGCGCGGGAGTCTTCTGCGCAGGGAGGGCGTGGGTAGCGGAGGACCTGTGCTCTCTCCACTGATGTCCAGTGAAGAGTCCTGGAGCCCTCTCGCCGATTCCCCCATCTGCCCCCCTTTATCCCTGGTGTTGCGCTGATTTGCTTCCCCCTCTACTGAGCTGCCTCTCCCCCTGCTGGGCCCTTCGCCAGCATCATCTGGGAGCCTTCCCTTCGCCTCTCGCTCCGATGTCAGTTCCCTGACACTCTATAACAGAGGTTCCCAAACTTATTTGGCATATCGCCCCTTTTTCAGAAAAAAATATATACTCAATGCCCCCCCCCCGGAAAACTACCTTCTTTATGCAAACAAACAGTCCGATCTGCCCCAGAGGCAGGGCTGACGCTGCAGCCCGCCTGCCATTGGCCAAATAGGCAGGCAAGCTGCAATCCACTTCCCAGGCCTGGGTGAAGCCGAAAAGGGTTCCCCCATCCTGGGAAAACCCCACACCTTCAGCACAACCGCCCGATCCAGGGGAGGAGTTGTTCCCATCCCTTAATGGCGCCCAACCTGGCAATAAACGTCATTACACAACAGATGAAACACGCACAGACGATTTTTCAAATTTTTCTTCTCTTCTTCCTTTATGCTTCCACCGCCCCTTTATTTTTATTCAATGCCCCCCAATTGCACCCGAGGCTACTAGCATCCCCCAAGGAGTGCTATCTCCCACATTGGGAAACACTGCTCTATAACTTGAGAATAGCTTTTGAATTTTTCTACCAACCTGTGTTCCTTTGATAGGAGCACAGGATCTGCAGGCATTAGGCTGATCCTGGGCTGATCCCCAATGTCATATGAAGCGTCATCTGCAGATTTCTGTGGATCAAATGAAGTTTTGGGGTTTTTTAAAAAAAATAGGCCGGAGTTCAGTAAGGTGCTCTTGAATAAACAAAAATGAATAAAAGACTGCATATGTGTATAAAATACTGCATACGCGTATAAAGGATTTCTATGCACTGTCTCATGTACTCATTTGTTTAATTTCTATTCCACAGTAATAAAATAATCATGAAAATCATTGTCTGAAAAACCTTTAAAAGGTTGTTATCATGGGAGCACTGACACGTGGCACAAAAAAACCTTGAAGTTAGTAGCTTTATTAGGCTTTATTAGGGAATCAAAGCATGCAGAGACTCATGAGAAATGCTCCCTTATATTGAGCTGTTGCTGAGACTGCCTGGTACCTCCCACTTCATTCTATTCCTTCTGAGTCAAGCCCCTCCTTCTGTCTCTGGCGAGTCCCAAGGGACCCTCTCCTTCTCTGCTTTGCCCTGTGTTCTACTTTGTGAAATAACTGCCTTGTTCTGGGAGTGGGAGGAAGAGCTGGCAGCCCATCAACAGACACACTGTCAAGGGGGTGAGGGGCTTGTGGTGAAGCTGCTAAGTCTGACTCCTGTATTTGCTCTGGGCTGGGTCACCTGCTTGTTATCCCCTTTTCCTCACCCTCTAAGCTCCCAGCCTTCAGTAACCCCCAGCTCTTCCCCTCCTCTGAGGTGTGTCCGGTTGTCCACCACCAAGAGCCCGACTCCAAGTCTTCTTCCTCTGCACTTTCCATGGGAGACTCTTGGTCAGGGGGTTTCCACCACTCCTTCTCATCTAGCCAGTCCATGACAGTTGGGGGTCTTGTCTGTGCCTGTCTCAATTCTGTAGATAAAGGATGAGATGTTAAACAGCAAGTACATATTACTATGGCCAGAATGACTTTGAACCTTGCCCCGCTTTTTTCTCTCTTCAGGTGTAGCTTTTTCTCATGGTGAATACTGGAAAGTGATGCGACGGTTTGCGCTAACCACATTACGGGATTACGGCATGGGAAAGAGGTCCATAGAGGACAGAATTGTTGAAGAGTGCAGCGTCCTGGTTAAGAAATTTGAATCTTACCAAGGTGGGTTGGTATTTGTCTCTGGTGCTCCAGGGTGTACCTTGTTGTTGGCATCTGTCTGCCTCGAGAGACAATGGAGTGTGCCTCCAGGGGTGAAGTCAAACCAGTGCATAAGCACAGCAGTTTAAAAAGTGCCTGGAGTGTTGTGTTCCATGGGCTTTATCCACACTTCCTCTTCTCCCGCTGCTTTCCCTTGGGAAAAGCCACTCTTTGGAACAATTTGGGTTTTCCCCAGATTGCCATTAATTCTGAATTACTGCTAAAGAGTGGTTTTCCCCTTGGAAAGGAGTGGGGGAAGAGAAAAACTGCTTCAACCATGCCTAGAAAGCGTGTGTGAAGTGGAAGTGTGGATGAGCCCATACTTATGGTTAACTCCATAACTACAGTTCCCAGGGTTGGTTCCTTGTGGAGACGTAATCGGTCTGTTCCTGTAGTGTGTAGATTATATTCCAATAGCTCCTATGACTTCCAAGCCCTCTTTAGCATTTCTTAGCCAACATATGGCCACATCCAGCAGCACTTAGGATCAGTTTCTTTGATAAAGGAGGTCTACACATAGGTAAGCTGCCAGTAGGGATTTAAGGCAACAAAGAGCAGACTTAAAAACAATGCCCTTTCCATACTTGGAATTTCAACAGAATATTTTTGTTTAACTGTCATATTTATGTATAGGAAACCCGTTTGAGACCATCACAATTATGAATGCAGCTGTTGCCAATATTATAGTGGCCATACTACTAGACAAGCGATTTGATTATGAAGATCCCACATACATAAGACTTCTGAAGTTGGTCAATGAAAATGCCCGGCTTGTTGGAAGCTCTTCAGTCCTGGTAATCTATTCTTTTCCAATAAAACAAACAGTTGATTGTAATAGCAGTGTATGCAATGTGGGCAGGGCAACCTGTTTATTGTATACTGTTCAGGATTCACTATAAAACACAGAATCTTGGTATCTTGAGAAACTTGGTGATTTGAAATATTTAGAAAACTCAAACAGATGGCACAGTTATCCCATAACTATAACGAAGTCTTTCTGGCCTCATTGCCATTGGGACTCCAAGGACAAGGAAGAACCAGTGATAGCTGGTTCCATGAAAGCTCAGAAGGGGCCCCCGAGGGCAGATCTCCCTCTCTGAAGATGAACCTCCAGAGGAGAATCACAATAGCCTATTATCCTGGGGTTGCACATAAATTATGCTATCCTGAGGTACCCTACCCCCCATTCCAAACGCCATTTCAGAGCCTCCAGGAGACACTGCTGACTGCTATGGGGCAATTTGACTTACACCACCCTTTTAGCCAGAGTAACTTTAAGAAGTCTTTAAGGTGTAATTACTAAACATTAAATCAACCTGAATACATTATTGTTTTGTATTGTATATGGGCCACCACGCTTTGAGTCACCCATCTGAGTGTACAGTACTGGCCTTTCCTAATGTTTTCTTTTTCTTTTTTCACATTTTATCCTTTCAGCTGTATAACATGTTTCCTGCTCTTGGTTTTCTTTTGGGGGCTCCTAAGACTGTCCTTCGCAACAGAGATGAGCTGTTTGCCTTCATAAATGCCACCTTCATAAAACACCTCCGAGATTTGGATGAAAATGACCAGAGGAGCTTTATTGACTCATTTCTTATTCGACAGCAAGAGGTAACAGAGCATTTTAAGTTTGCCCAGGAGAAATTTTCAATTCATGCTTTAAGTGTATGTTTGCAAGTGGTTACATAAGGAGTAGTCAGGAAGTCTCAACTTCAGAAGCACACTTTCTGCCATTTCTAACTATTCCGCCATCATTAATGTGTTACAGAAACAGTCTCTGCAGGGCCAAAGGTTGCATGCTTGTCAGCATTTCTGAAAATCTACCTTAATCAAATGGCATCTGTTGTGCAATTGTTAGTCAGTTGTTTCTTGCTATCACATTCCTTTTTGTAGACACAGCAGAGGCTGAAGAGGAGATTGCATAGCCAAGGCTGCCAATTATGCTAGGTTTTATAGCCTGCACTTTTGCTAATCCAAAGATTGCATGATCCTTTTTGTAAGGAAACCAAGTCCTTTTCTTTTTAATCCGCTTAGAACCTTCTTTCATCTTTGTCTTACTGCCAGCAGACGGAGACTTGTTTGATGTAACTGCAGGAAACTCTGAGTAAAAGACTCACTTATTTGCAAAGCTAAGCTCTGTGATTTATTCCAGCCTAAGTATTTTCATGGTTTGTGCTTGTTTAACGCTGAATGAGGGCAGATACAAATCTAACCGGGTGCCTGGAACAGTAACCACTGTGCTCAACTCTGCTCCTGGAGATTAGGAATCTCTCTTTGTATAAGGTTTCATGAGCCATTGTGTCAGATGCAATAACACATCCACACACACATACTCTACACAGAAACCCTGCTCTGAGATTCCTTTTTGAGGACAAATGGTGGGTTAAATTTCTCTTTTCCACTGCAAAAGCCAGGCATACATTCACTTCGACAACCAGTAACAAGGACACAAAGCTTGTCCCTACTGTACTGTGACCTCCATCACAAGTTGGCTGGGGCTGGTGGGAGCTGTGATCTGCAACGTCTAGAGGGCCCCATGTTGCTCACCTCAGTTTAAAGAAGGTTAACCAAATATAGTTCCAGACTGACATGTGCTATTTCCGTGTCATGCTTTCCTTTTGGACTATGTGTAAATTCACCAAAGATGTTAGCTGAAAATAGCACTTTATGCAAAATGGCCACTAACCAAGTGTTCACCAGAAATGCTGCCTTTCATGTATGCATTCATATTAAGTCTGCATGATGCCTGAGTATGTTCTAAATCATGGGGTCTTGCACCCAGTAAGGGTTAACCAGTCCTTTTTTCCCTGGGGATTCTATAAGGGTATGCAGTTCCAGAATCTTCATCTTTTTTTCTAGAAGAAAAGCACTGGTTAATTCTAATAGAGGAATCTATTGTTGAACCAGTCAGACAAGTTTATTTGTAAGATGAGGACCACACACTTGCCACCTACATAATGCCATTATTTCCTTAGTCTAAACCAAGGCTGTTGGCTGAGCAGTTAAGTGCCACGATTAGCATCAGAGAAGAAGGAACTGGATTGCCAAGCTACAACCACCTCTTCACTTAGTTGGTAAACAGAGAACAATAGGGAAAGAGCTGAGTCAGACCCATTCTTGGTGTTTGCTTGACTCCAAAGCTGTGAATAATGGATGAGCAAGACACTTTGGGGTGTTGAGCCCCTCTGTCTTATGCTTGGGTTGTATATATGTGTAAATAAATCCTATATCATCATGATGGCATGGTCTGGAAAACCTGGAATCTCTCACTGCTCAGCGATTGGGGTTATGTGCAGTGATACTTTGGATCATCGGGTCCAGTCAGGTATTCATTTTTATCTCTGCACATGAAATTTTCTCACTCCATTTGTTTTAACTCTTTGCAACCCAGGAGGAGAAGAAGAACAAGACGAATGGATATTTCCACAACGAAAACTTAAAAGCTGTTGTGGCCAATTTATTTGCTGCTGGCATGGAGACCACTTCTACCACACTGCGCTGGGGACTGTTACTAATGATGAAATATCCTGAAATTCAGAGTGAGTGCTTTTCATTGGGTTGGCTCCCATTATTCTGAGATATCTTAAATCCAATTTTATGTAACTATTAGAGCAAGAGCTGAAAGAAAACTTGGGGCAGATTTGGATGTTACCTGAAACAACAGCAGGAGGGTATGAGAACATTGCCCTTCCTGTTATTGTGAAGATTGGCATGAATTAATTAATCAGCCAGGGGGCAGGATTGTGTGAGGCGATTATGAATATGAAAACACTGAAAACGCATATTGTAGAGCCCTGCTTGGTCAGGAATCTCCATGGAAGTGGCCACCTTATGAGAGCTACAGCCATTTTCCCACGTGATATTTAAATAGCCATCCTGGATGCATTTGTCTCCATCAGTATACAGTGGTACCTCAGGTTACATATGCTTCAGGTTTCATCCGTTAACCCTGAAATAGTGCTTCAGGTTAAGAACTTTGCTTCAGGATGAGAACAGAAATCGTGCTCCAGCGGCGCGGCAGCAGCAAGAGGCCCCATTAGCTAAAGTGGTGCTTCAGGTTAAGAACAGTTTCAGGTTAAGAACGGACCTCCGGAACTAATTAAGTACTTAACCCGAGGTACCACTGTATCACGCATTGGCTTAAATCAGTGGTTCCCAATTAGCCAATTACTGAGGACCCCCTATTTTTCAAAAGCCAAGCCACAGAACCCCTACTTTTGAAAATTTTGATAACTCTATGGCAGTTACCTGTGCAAGTCATTTTAAAAAATGTGGGGGAGCCTCTAATAAGAAAAGGATTTTAGCTATACTAAATAGACCATAAATTTGTGATATTTCCACACAAAATGACAAAGATTTAGTTGGGGGAGAGAGAAATTTAATTTTATTAACATATCGTACAAGTGAACAAATTATGACATGCCAACAGCTACTAAACCTAAATAATAATAATAATAATTTACTCATTGATTTATTTACATGCCACCCATCTGACTGAGTTGCCCCAGCCACTCTGGGCAGCTCCCAAAAAATGTTAAAAAAACACTAAACCTAAATGTGATGGGAGAAATCATGCCTCTTTTTGTCTAACAATCCCTTCCACATCTGGTTCAATATTTCCTACTTTTATTCTCAAATCTGGTCCAACATCAAGCCGATTTCTATGCTTGTTCTTCATATAACAAAATGTTGAAAATGTTTGTTCACAAAGATATGTGGAAAGTAATCCCAGAAGATAGTCGCTAATTATGCAGGTGCTCAGTGATGTAATGTTTTACTTCTGGTATCAATTCTTCTTCAGAGGCCTCCAGAAATGTCTCCTCTGTTGGGATGTTAGTGAGGCTACAACCTTCTACTCGGCTTGCCCAAATTTTTGAATAACTACCTCAATCTTATCTTCAATGTAAAAAAAATTCACATCACTACCTTGAAGGCTTATGTTGAGACTGTATGTGAACCATGCAAAGTTGTTTAACTGATCACTTGGAAATTTTGAATCTGTCAAAATTTTAAATCAGAGGGTGAGCTGTTGTGCTAATCATTGTGGCAATTTGCTTATTCCCCCTGTTGGACTTCCAAACACATATGGCAAGATTCACTGAAAACCCTACCTACAAGTAGTGGAAGAGTCCTATAAACTTGAGAGGCGCTGAAAGCAATTAGAAGTTCTTTTCAGTTAAAAAGTGAAGCAAAGGGAAGGGATCTCTTCCTTTTTTTTTTAATGATAAGCACATAAGGTAAAAGGTAAAGGACCCCTGGACGGTTAAGTCCAGTCAAAGATGATTATGGGGTTGCGGCGCTCATCTCACTTTCAGGCCGAGGGAGCCAGCGTTTGTCCACAGACAGCTTTCTGGGTTATGTGGCCAGCATGACTAAACCTCTTCTAACACAACAGAACATCGTGATGAAAACCAGACGGAAATGCTGTTTACCTTCCCACTGCAGCAGTACCTATTTATCTACTTTCACTGGTGTGCTTTCGAACTGATAGGTTGGCAGAAACTGGGACAAAGCAATGGGAGTTAACCCTGTCACCGGGATTCAAACTGCCAACCTTCCGATCAGCAAGCCCAAGAGGCTCAGTGTTGTGCACCATAGCGCCACCCACGTCCCATGTAAACCCACCCCTTGGAGCAAGCTGTTCTCTCTCCCTCTCCCTCTCCCTATTCCCCATTCCAATCGCAAGAGCCCTAAGAAACTGTGTCAGAGGTTTTTGCTCAATCCCAGGTCACTTCCCACCCAGGAACTCTTTCACAAGTTTTCCCCCTGCTGCTCCTGAGCAGAGGCTGGATGATGCCTGAAAGGCTTTCACTGTGCAATTAACAAAATATGTGAGTCCCCCAGCAGGTGATGGTGCTGCAGACCCACAGCAGTCCCTGAACCCCTCACTGAGAACCACTGCCTTAAATGTTTGTCCTGCTTAAAAATACCTGTGTATAATTCTAGAGATTAAGTATGTGAGCCCACGGAATTGGGGAACCAGTTTATGCCAGTTCTATGCTGGAGAGATTAATATTTTGAGAGACAAAAGCCAAAGTCAAAGAGATAATCTTAGCAGAAAAATGAATGCTTTTCCATTTTTTGTTTCCCCCAGTAAAGGTCCAAGAAGAAATTGCAAAGGTTGTTGGATCTTCTCAGCCAAGGATTGAACACCGAACAAAAATGCCTTATACAGATGCCGTGGTCCATGAGATCCAGAGATTTGCTGATGTTGTCCCAACCAACCTGCCACATGCCACGACTACAGATGTTACCCTCAATGGCTACTTCATTCCAAAGGTGATCCATTTCACTGAACTGTTGCCCACTAGTTACAATATATTTTAAGGCTTTCCTGGGAGTAAGCCCCTTGGACTTCAGTGTGGGTGACATCTGTGCAGACATGTATAGGATTGCACTGTAAGCATGCAATCTACCCTTTGGAAGGTGTCAGGCATCATCTTCAACCCATTAAACAGATCTCAGTGGGAAGGAGCACAAGGTTAGAAATAAAACGTTTCTTGTGGGAAATCATGGTTTATAGATTAAAGTTTGTCACACTAAAGACATTTCTCAGATGAACTCAAATCTCATTTCTCCTACACTAAATATTTATTGTACCAGAGGCATACACTTTATTTTAAAATGACTCTTGCTTTGCCTTTGCAGGGGACTCACATCATACCACTGCTGTCCTCTGTGCTGCATGATGAATCTCAGTGGGAGAAACCACATAAATTCTATCCTGAACATTTTCTTAACTCTGAAGGGAAATTCGTAAAGAGAGATGCTTTCATGCCTTTCTCTGCAGGTAACTTTTTTTTTTTTTTTACTTTTGTGTATACCTGTATAGTTTGTGCTTAATCAATGGGATCTTTACATGCCTGGAATGTAGAATACTGTGCAAAGGTAAGGATCACATCAGTTGCTATGGCCATTTCTGCCACCAGATCTGGCCACCATGAATGTTGCTCACCCGGGAATGTTGCCTTCTGGCTGAAAAAGGTTTCCCACCCCTGGTTTTCAGGACTGCAGGGAGGGATAGTATTGGGAGTACGTAATTCTTTTAAGATGGGCACCGTTAGCTGTTACTTTATCACTGCATTTTAGTATGCTTTAAAGTATTTGGGATATTTTCTTCTTATGATCAACTATTTGGAGCAATGACACATTGCTCCAAATAGTTGATCATAATACTAAGCAACCAATAAACCTGGTTTCTCTGCCCCCTGTGATTTGTTACAGGTCGGAGAGCATGTGTAGGTGAGTCTCTTGCCAAAATGGAGCTCTTCCTCTTCTTCACAAGTCTCCTGCAGAGATTCACCTTCCAGCCACCCCCTGGAACATCTCAAGAAGACCTGGACCTTACTCCTGTTGTTGGGCTTACAACATCTCCCATGCCCCACCAGCTCTGTGCTCTGCCATGTTTCTAAGACTCACAAGCTCCTGGATTGCTTAGCCTACCTGTGTGTGCAATGCGAGCCTTTTTTAAACACCCCTGTCCAACAAGGGTATTTGGGTTGAGTAGCCTATGGGTGGAATTGGTCCGTGCTTTGTCAGAAACCTTAAGTGTTCCTCTTTACCTGACATGCTGATGAATCGCATAAAGCTAGTGTTGAAGCACTAGACCTGAATTATTATGACATTGGGGCCGGGGCACCAACTCTATGGGGCTGAGGTGTCTTAGCCTCTCCCCCCCCCCATATCTGTTGGAAGGGGCCATGCCCTCTCAATGTTGAGAGGGCGAGGGAGGCCATCCACGGAGCTGAGCGCAGTGCAGAACAGTGCAGCTCCACTGACTGGCTCCTCCTGAGTGCAGGAGGGGAGGAACCACCGGCCATTGAAGCCAAGCCATTGTGGACTCCATGCTTGGTCTCCCCTGACGATGGGATGTTATGCACTCATGATGTCACATCTTGGGTGCAAGTTGGTGCCTCTGCTTTGGGCATAGAGATCAACCAATGAAACTGGTTTCTTGTAGTCACATGTTAACAAATGCCATCAAATATCTTGAAGCATCATATTCCCAGTTAAATGTCCAAATATTGAGGCATCTGATCAAGACCTGTATTTAAAATGAGCTTAAAAGATATATTTGCAAATGCTTGTATGTTTCATGCCAGGTGGCAGCTGTTTATCTTCCTGCTCAAGCCCCCCCCCCCCCCGATTTATAGCAGTAGCAGGAGACACGTTTCTCAAAGTTGTAAAAGGGAATTACATGCTACAGGAGCAAAGGTCATACTGACCATACAAATTACAGAATACAATCAAGTTGCAAAAACACTAATTAAGAGTTAAAATAATACCAGGTGCCTCCCATTAGACTTGAGCCATATTTTCATAAGGTTAAAGGGCAAGAGCTAATAGGAACAGCAGCTGGCTTGAAAGGGGGGTGTAAATTTAAGGGGTTGCTTTTGGAAACTGTTTTTACTAAGTTCCTTTCCTTCTAAAAAGCTATATATGTTAATGTATGAAATATATTGGCTTAATGTAATTATGCACAGGATTTAGAAAGTAAGAAATGTTAGATTCTTATGTTAGATTCTTATTTCATTGATGGTGTGTGAGAAGGTGAACCCAAGATCTCTGTTTAAGATAAAATTTAAAACCATGCGCCATGTTTTGGAGTGAATAGGGCAATAGGGTAATAGGGCAATAGGGCAAAAGGTGAAATGTTAATTAAGGTGCCTTGTCGAGGCAAATGTAAGATATATGGCTACTTGTCTGCCATTTATGGATAGAAGGAAATATAGCTCTTTGTCTCCCATAAAAGGTAATAGGAAATGGGTGTATCTTTTATGATTGGTTCTAGAAAACAGCCAATAGGAATTTCAACCAGGCTGATTGGACAGAGGCAGCCAAAGGAGGAACAAGGGGGCTGGGCTGAGGAAATATAAGTGCTGGCCATCAGGGCTGGAGGGGGCAGAGCTTTCAGTAACCATATACCACTGTGCCTATCATTTATTTGTCTGACAAATAAATTATTATTTTAATTTCTCTGTTGCTGCGTTGAATATTTCATTCCAGCTAAGCGTTAACCACAAGCAGGATGCTACAATATGAGCTAGTGATAATGGTTTTGCTTGGGAAATACAACTGTACAAGCTGCAGAGACCCCAAAATAGTTTTTTTATACAAGCAAATTATCTGTGAAGCACCCTCATGCAGAGCGGGTGGGTTCTTCAAATCCATGGTTTGTACTCCCCTACCAATTTCTGTCAGTGGGGAATCCAGGTCTGCCCACACCTGAAGCAGTGTCCTCAAGTGTAGTATGTTGTTCTTTGCCTTGAAGGGCAGACACAAACATTCACTCTAATTTGAGAAAGTAGCAATCTTCATGTTACATTCAACAAGTTTACAATCTGTGTACGCAAGTAGCTAAGTTGTACACTCATACAATCATTCACAGTTATTCACTTTAAGAAGGCTGATTTCAAAAAGCTTAAGGAACTACTGGGTGAGATCCCATGGCCAGAAATACTTAATAAGAAGGGAGTCCACCTTTCTTAAATGTGAAATATTGAAGGCCCAAATGCAGGCAATTCCAGCAGGAAAGAAAAGTGGGAGGCATCTAAATAAACTAGTGTGGTTGCATGAGGAGTTCACAGATGAGCTGAGATTTAAGAAGGACATGTATAAGAAATGAAAAAAGGGGGAAACCACAAAGGAGGAGTATACACGAGTAGCCAACATTTGCATGGAGAAGGTCAGGTGGGCCAAAACTCAGAATGAACTCAGACTTCAAGAGAGGTTTTTTCAGCTATGTTTGAAATAAGAAGAACAAGCAAATAATAGGTTCTCTGCATGGAGAAAATGGGGAAATGCTAGGGTAACAGAGAGAAGCTGAAACTGCTCAACAACTACGGTACTATGCCTGTGTCTTCACCCAAAATGAAAGCAGTGCCAGACCTGGTGATAACAGAATGACCAGTGCAAAGAGGGAGCTGCAGTCCAAGATAGGAAAGAGGTGGTAAGGGAACACCTAGCTACTTTAAATCAAATCTCCAGGGCATGTTGAGCTGCACTCAAGGATACTAAGGGAGCTTACAGATGTCTCAGAGCCTCTGTCTATAATCTTTGAGAATTCCTGGAGAACAGGTTAGGTCCCTGCAGTCGGGAGGAAGGCCAATGTTGTTTCCATCTTTAAAAGTGGGTAGTTACCCAGGTAACTACCGACCAGTCAGTTTGATGTTGATACCAGGAAACATAGAAGCAAACTCCTAGGGGCCAAGGTCCCTTTGGCCCTGCCAATAAAATATTTCAAGGGGCTGCCCCCCCCCCAGGTGATGGGCATTCCCATTCAAATGGTGTGTGTGTGCCGTGTCATGTCATGTGATTGATTATGCGGGGTAGCAAACTTTCAGTTCATCGTGTAGTTTAAAATTTGCTCATTCCAGCTTCTCAACAAGAGCTTTACAGTGGTGCCTCGCAAGACGAAATTAATCCGTTCCGCGAGTCTCTTCGTCTTGCAGTTTTTTCGTCTTGCGAAGCACGGCTATTAGCGGCTTAGCGGCTATTAACAGCTTAGCGGCTATTAACGGCTTAGCGGCTTAGTGGCTTTAAGAAAAAGGAAACAAACTCGCAAGAAGTCGCAAAACAAAACGAAGCAAGCCCATAGGGAAATTCGCCGTGCGGAACGACTCAAAAAACGGAAAACCCTTTCGTCTAGCGAGTTTTTCATCTTGCGAGGCATTCGTCTTGCGGGGCACCACTGTAATTTGAATAGTTCCCTCATTCAAGCTCAAAGCGCATGCTTGCTTGTAACTCCAACGGCTTTCTGTAAACTGCCAATCATCTGAATGGCTGTGTCACAATTGTTGGTGCGAATTAGCTTGGGAGTCTGAAAGAATATCCACAGTAATACACTGTTAATCCATAGTAATCCATAGTAATCCTGAGGTTCCCATCTGCTTATTAAGGCTGCATCATTTCTATGTTTCTCTTGTTTGATGCAAGAAATGACCCTCTCATTCTAAGAATGACATCCAGTCTTCACTTCCATCGGATAAAGTTACTCTCTGTGCATCTAAGCAGTATGAGAAGCAATGAGATTGTGGATATCCATCGTAAAAGAGAGGAAAAAACCCAAAAGAATTTAAAAATATGTCAGGTACAATGCAGAAAATAAGAGATTGTTCTCAAAACTCTACAATGTGGGAGGAAACCTCAGAATAATAAAAGAACAAAAAACAAAAACAAATACAACATGGAGTCTCATGGCTGAGTGAAACCATGGGGAAGGGCAATCTTTCACTGTTTTTAAAGTCAGGTTTTAAAAAATCATTTTAAATGCCGAAATGTCTACTAAAGTATTCTTCCCTTGACCCACTAGTATTTCTGGGTACCAAGATCTGAGTTAGGGGCAAGTACTCTTTGATGAGAGAACTCCAGCAGACATTTAAAATTACAAAATACGCAGCAAAGTAAAGTGTGGAAATATAGGCCTTTAGACCTTTAAAATATATCCTTGTGAATTCCAAAACTTTCTTCTTCCCTCTGCATAAGAAAAAACCACAAGTTTGATACGTTAAAAACTGGTTTATTTACAAAGGTCAGGTTCATGTGCTTTTCCATACATCAGTCAGAAAAGACACAGGCAGTAAAACCTGGCTAAGATTCAAAGTGGTGAACGTTTTTAAATTATTGGTATAGGAACTCAAGAATGGCTTGTGAGCAACCAGCTCTGACTGAGCTTCTCAGGCAGACTGAGGTACAACAACAGGCTTGAAAATCTTCCAAGGTGAGGGGAAGTGACCTAACTAAACCTGGCAGGACAGCTTACTCTATGGCTTTAACCCATTCATGCATTAGCATGCTGGTTGTATGAGGCTGGTTATCTCACACAGATAAGTCCTAAGACACAAAATAAGCCAGTACCTGCTCTAATACTGTAGTATCCACCTATCAACACCTGAGCCTCCTGCCACCAGGTGGCTTAAAATGGATGTAATCTGGCCTGGGACCTTTTGAGTCAAGAGCACCTGTAAATAAAAGGCATCATCATCAGCTAAACCACAATGTTGCACAAGCCAAGAGGAAGTATATAACACAAGTATGTCTATAGAGCAAATAGTTCCAGAGATGACTGACAGAAGAGGGCCATGCTGCATAGTGCAGAAAATTGCACACACACACACAAAATATTTGTGCAGTATTTCCCAGGGAACATCTCCCTATTTTGCTTCCACCAGTATATTAATTAACTAAACTAGTTACACACACATGCTGAATAGCAGAATATTTGTAAAGAAGAAGTTCAAGAGGTTCTGAAACTATTTCATAAATATCTCACTAGTTCAATAATTAAACAAGAGGATTTCTTAACGGTTGTTTGGGTTCCTTCCAACTCTCCAGTTTTGTGATTCTATAATGTTGTTTTAAACCTGAACATTGGACTTCCCTAGAATACAAAAGAGGTTGAACCTGCTGAACGATGTTTTCATTTCAGGAAGAAAACACCCCTGCTCAAGTAAGTATAAAGGGAAAGTTGAATCATCAAGCTTAGATTGCAATAAAGTCGGGGGGTAGAGTGGAAGGCAATTCATTGAATGAAATGATTCATTAGAGACAGTTCCTAGTATTTGCTACTCATTTCAGCCAGCGGACATTGTCCTTGATCAAACTATGTTGTGACTTTCACAGTAATCGCTTCAGAAATTTGCTCACTGAAAAGAAATGGATTGGACTGAACAGATTCCAGCATTATTCCTGCTCATCCTTACAATTATATTCATTTGGAAATGGGGCAGTTTCTGGAATAGGAGCTCCAAAAATCTCCCACCAGGTCCGACACCTTTACCACTTGTTGGGAATCTCCACATGATGGATCTGAAGAGACCTTACAGAACAATGTTAAAGGTAATGTTTTCTGTTCTTTCTGCAGCAAGGCAAAGATTCTGTGGATCTTTTTAGGCCAGGTAGATGTCAGTGTTCCATCTCATATATGCATATATGCAAAAATGATAAAACTCTGTCAAGTATGGCTTATTTGTTTTTTTCTTCCTTTTTGTGTGTGATTGCTGTTATGGTTTAGGCTGATAGCTGATCTGTGCAGTGGAGGGACTGGGTCACTGGAGGAGGGGAATAGGAATGCCACAACCAGCCTTATGTGCAAAAA